TCCAAGTCTGGCAGGTTCTTTCTTCCCTGCCTTTCCCCCGGGGTGCTGAGGTGGGCGCCCAAGGCCTGCTATCCTTGCTCTGGGCCGAGCAGCACCCACAGAGCACGGCCATACTCGTGGCCCGGGCCCTGCTGGGTGCTGGCCTGGGTGGGCGGTCCTGGGCAAGCCTGTGCGTTCCATCCTAGCAGCAGACCGAGACGCGGATCGAGACGCGGATCGGTCACTGGGAGGACAGCAGCCCCGCCCCGCCCCATCGCCCCGCCCTCCGCCCCGCCCCTCGCCCCTTCCACCTTCCGGTCCCCTCGGCTGGGTCGGAGCAACTTCTAGAGCAGAGACCAAGACGCGGCTGGCGCCCGCAGCAAATAAACACAACTGCGGACCCGGCCTGTAGGCAGCTCTAGGCGGGCAGCTCCGTTGTGGTCCAGAGGCCAGTGGGCCCAGACATCTCCCGTTCCTAGGCAGCGCCTCGCCACACGCTGGGGACCCAGCCAGCAGCCACAGTGGGACTCCGCCTGTGCCCACCCCCTCACCCAGCAGAGCTTAGACGCCAGACGGGGCACAAAGCGCAGGGGCAACGGCAGGTGGAAGAGAGCCTGGGGCACCTGCGGCAGGGGCGAGGGGTTGCAGCTAGAGGAAGCGTCCCTCCAGCTGATCTCCTGCACCAGCAGCAGGCCCCACCTCTTGGAGCGAGGGGGCGGAAACCCAGAGCCCAGGCTCCCAGGGCTGCCCGCTGGCCAGCATGGGTTGGTGTGCTTGGCCCTGTGTGCTGCGCAAACAAGCCTCTCCCGAGGCCAGGCCGCTCCTGCTGAGGGCTCCTTGAGAAGTTCCCGTTCTCCTCTGCCAAGTCTCATGGAGGCACCACTGCCTCGATTTTTGGACAGTAGTGCTTTGGGTTTGGTTTGGGTTGGTTTAGAATTTTTTTTTGGTTCCAGGGATCGAACTCGACCTCGCGCTTGCTAGGCAGGTGCTTATGCCTCTGAGCTAAATCCCCAGCCCCTTTGTTTGGTTTTTGAGACAGGGTCTTGCTGTGTAGCCTAGCCTCGAACTCACAGCAATCCTCCTGCCTCAGTCTCGGGAGTGCTGGGATTACAGGCATGTGCCACCACATCAAGCTGGACAACATAGTTCCTGTTTATTTATTTTAGATTTTTGAGACACGGTTTCATTATATAGTTCAAGCTGGCCTTGAACTCCAGATGACCCTCCTGCCTCAGCCACCTGTATGCTGAGATTACTGGCATGTACCACTACACCTGCCTTTGGATATCCTTATTTGTGTGTGTATGTATGTATTTTGGGGGCTTGAGGCAGGGTCTCACTGTATAGCTCAAGCTGGCCTTGAGTTGTCGACCCTCCTGCCTCAGCCTCCTGAGTGCTGGATTACAGGTGTGTACAACCATGTTCAGCTTTGGACATCCTACTTTTTAAACCCTACCTGAAACACTGCTTCCCAAACAGCTCTGACAAAAGTACCATGGGGCAAATGCAAAGCCCAGGAATCCCAGCAAGAAGGAGCCCAACGCAGCTGGCCACCACCACCAGCCATGCTACATTAGCTTGAACCATGTGCACCTGCATTCAAACCCGTACCAGACACAGGCTGCTTTTACCCGCAGGTGCCTTGTGCCTGGAAGGTGGAGGCTTTGCTGGGTGGACTAGAAGGGCCTGGGGACCCCAGAGGGGAAGCAGTGTTTGTCAAGTATTCCCCTCTGCGCAATGGGAACACAGCCCACGCCAGTTCCATTGAAGATCAGCTAAGCGAGAAGACCGGAATCACAGCAGCCGAGGTACTGACCTGCCCCGTGCTGGACACCTTCCCACTCGGTTTCTAACTCCGCAAGCCTTAGCCTCCCCACATCCTGGAGGGGCCAGGCCTGGGGTGCTCACGTGACAAGCCTGAGGTCCCATCAGGGAAGAAGGGTGGGGTCTCGACAGAGCACAAGTCTGGCTGACTGCAGAGGTCTGCCCTGCCTCAGTTTCCCAACAAGGGATTGCAAGAAGTGACAAGTCCTGCTGGGTGGGGCTGAGCTTCCCTTTCTGACCGAGCTCTGTTTCCAGGTAAATTCTGATGGGAAGATGGGAGGACTGGATTTTTCCCACTCCAAGCAGTGGGCTCTTGGGGTGTGTGTGTGTGTGTAGATCCCAGACCAGCTAAACAGGTCCCAGTCCTTACTCAGCAGTAGGCCCTGAGTCCTTTTCCTTTTACTTTCATTTTCCTGCAGTTGTGATGTTAAAGTTCCCAGGAGATTAAATGCACACAGATTGTCAGCAGACTCCTGGACCATGGAGACGACTGGCCTGGGGCTCTCCAGGATCCCCAGAAGCAGAGACAAAAAAGAGCAGGTGAAGAAAGGTGGGAGGTTGAAGTAGAGGCCACACTGTGCCTGCCCATTCATTTAGTGGGAGGCTCGATGGATGGGAGCAGGGCCAGCTATGGGGAGGACAGTTTATAGCTGACCCCAAGTCCCAGGCCACACCTGACCCTTTGTAACTGCACGGTCTGGGGCAAAGTGCCCAAGTCCCTGAGATTGTCTTGAAGGTACGAACACAAACTACCACCACTATCAGAACACTTGGGGGTCAGGAGAAGAGAAGTTTCACCTTTACAATTTATAAATGTTAGTTGTCCAGTCCTCTTGCAGCAGGAAGCCAGAAAAAGACCAATGGATTTCAAGAGGCAGAGAGGAAAGGCTGCATGCAGGGCAGTCTTGCCCTTGGGAGCAGTGTCACACCTCTGCCTGCTGGGACCCTGCCATTTTTGAACGAAAGAACCTGTGTAACCATCTAGGCGGCGTTCCCTCACTGCTCCATCTAAGCCTGTTCGGAGTTGGAGCCAGAAGGTTCATGCACACAAAGGGAAGAAGAGCCCCTCCAAAGCAGCCCCTTCATCGTGGAAGCCTGGGGAGCTCTCCGAATTAAAGTCCACGCCCAGAGAGCTAAACTGAGCACAAGACAGTGGCCACATCTCTCAGGCAGACACGGCTCACATCTGAGAACCAGGATGACCACACTGTTGGGCTAGCCCACAAGGATAAAGAGTTTGCGATCCACCTGCTGACCCTAAGCAGGACTTTCTTTTGGTGACTGTTGTCCAGGAAAACGGGAAGTAGTTCACTGGTCTAGCTCACAATATGGGAATCAGAGCAAGGCATAGTGGCTGGGAACTAGGACCTGGGAAGCTGAGGCAGGATGCCTGCCAAGAGTTCAACATGTGCTGAACTATACAGCCAAACTTGTCTCAAAAACAACAGCAGCAAATTGCTGGGATTAGCTCAGAGGCACAAAGCCTGCCTGGCAAGCATGGAAGTCCTGAGGTGGACTCTGGGTATCAAAAGCAAACAGGTGAAACAACAACAACAACAAAAACCCCAGCAAGTGGTAGGAATCAGATACTTGTAGCTGTCCCGAAATAGTCAAAAAGATCACAAAGCAAAACTTTAGCTCCTGTAAACAGCATCCAAGTGCAGTTAAAGTGGCCCTGAAAGCTAAAGAGCTACAGAAACTTCCAATGTCTGTGTGGTTTTCCTTCCCTTCCTCCCTCATAGATAGCAAGGGTCAGTCCTGGCCTAAGCCAGGCTACTCCTCATTAAGGCATAGTCTCCAGCCTGTACTTTGGCCACGTAAGAGAAAAGCCTGCCAGCTCGGCCTGACACAGCAGCCATTTCACAAACTTAGGTCCCAAGTCACCGCAAGGACCATGCATCCAGAGGCAGGGAACCTGCACTGTCTGACATGTATATGAATTCCCTTGGCTAAAACCTCAGCATGTCAGGAGAGCAGAGTGCACTGTGATCTTCACTTACTACTCTGCAGTAAGTCCCAGCCAGAATGGACTGGGGACCTCGGTGCCACAGGAACCGCTGTTCAGGGTGGTGCACACGTTTGAGAAGAGGTGCCCCGGATCCCAGAGTCCTCACAGGCGGCTAGGAAACCACTCACATGCTCTGGGAGGGCAGGACTGAGCCTGAGCTGGGGGGAGGAGCAGCAGGAGCTGGAAGAGGAGGAGGAGGAGGAGGAGGAGGAGGAGGAGGAGGAGGAGGAGGAGGAGGAGGAGGAGGAGGAGGAGGAGGAGGAGGAGGAGGAGGAGGAGGAGGAGGAGGAGGAGGAGGAGGAGGAGGAGGAGGAGGAGGAGGAGGAGGAGGAGGAGGAGGAGGAGGAGGAGGAGGAGGAGGAGGAGGAGGAGGAGGAGGAGGAGGAGGAGGAGGAGGAGGAGGAGGAGGAGGAGGAGGAGGAGGAGGAGGAGGAGGAGGAGGAGGAGAAGGAGAAGGAGAGAAGATAATGAATGGGCAGATCGGCCCGGATCTGTGATCTGGAGCTAAGATTGAGCAAGCCTCAGCTAAATTCTTCAAGAGGCAGGAAGAGAGATATGGAGAAAACGACACGACTGGGGGACAGGGCCGGGGAACAGGGGGCAAAAGAAGACAGCTTGTCCCTACTCAGTGACCCGTATTTCAAAGTCTTCTGAGGTTCTGGCTCGAGAAGGAGAAGAAGTGAGTAACGGGGGAGCAAACTTACTTCGAGGCCGTGGATGCCACCCGTCCGGACCCCTCCCCGGCCCGACACCCGACACCCGCCACCCGCAGGAAAGCAAGATAAAAATTCTCCAGGGCTGGAGGGGACAACTGTTTCCGATGGGACCAGGAGGAGAGCGTGGACAGACAGCGCCTCTCGACACCTCTAAACATAAGGGAGGAAGGCTCCTCCGCACCTGGCGGGGCCCCTCACATTCCGGGAGCAGGGGAAGAGGAACTTGGGGTCTCTCTCTCCACCACTGGGTTGGCGAGGCAGGGGCGAGCCGCGGAGGTTCCCAGGCTCAAGCGTGACAGCCCGGTGAAGTAGAGGGGCTCCCCCTTTGGCCCGACGCCCCGGGAGCTCCAAAGAGGGGCTACGGGTCGGGGGAGGGGTCAGTACCCCTAAGCCAGGAATGGGCGGGAGGAAGGGGCGGCTCCGAAGACGTTTCAGCTCAAGCAAGACCCTGATCCCGGGACGGGCACACTCACCGTGGCTCCGGGGCGGCGGCGTCCTGTGAGGCGGGGGCTCGGGCTGACTCCGCTCCTCTCCCCCCCGGCGGTGTCCCAGGCTCCGACCTCCACTTCCGCCTTTCAGCCGCTCCGGATCCGGATCTCCACCTTCGGCCCGCCCCTCCACGCTCCAGGGTGATTGATAGGAAACAGGAACCAATGGGAGACAACCTCGGCCGACCGGAGAGCTGCGACGGCGGGGAGCACGCGAGAGGCGGGTCGGAGCGCGCAGGGCATGGCGGGAATTGTAGTCCGAAGTGCGGGGCGTGGCCCCGATATCCCGGACTCCGGCGTAGGGCGGAGCCGTGGGTCCGGGGGAATAGGCACCGCCAACCCGGCTGTCGCGGTCCGGGAGGGGCCTGTTCGGTGCTCTCCCACCGAGACTGCGCCGGTGGCAGGCACGAGGAGCGCCGGCAGCGCGGTGACAGGTGTGCAGAGGACCGGTGAGCCCTACCCGGACCCCTAGGACCGGCCCCACTTCACCCCACCCAGAGCCACTGTGTTCTCTGATGCCTGCACCCCGCCTGGCGCCCTCCACTCGTCATGGAGATCAGAACCATATCTCCCAGTGCACGCCTGTACCTGCTCTTTCCTGCATCTCCCGCAGGGACTCTACGCAAAACCTGCAAGCAGAGGCGGGCGTGGTGGTGCATGCTTGTCATCCTAGCCCCTCCGGGAGGCTGACACAGGAAGATCGCTGAAAGTCCTAGGTCAGCCTGGGCTACACAGTGAGTTCCAGGCTAGCCTGAACTACATAGTGAGACCTGTTTTAAAAAACAAAGAGCTGGACGTAGTGGCATCTGCCTGTCATCCCAGCAATTGGGAGGCTGACACAGGAAGGTCACGGAAAGCCCAGAGCTACAGTGAGTTCAAGGCCAGTCTGAACAGCATCTTGAGACCCTGTCTAAAACAAACACCTGTATGGAATCAAAACCCACCTCAGAGAGCTGTGGCCTTCATCCCCTTGGACACTGGCCAACACCAATCATACATTTTGGAGTGAGACGTGAAGAATCGACCTGCCTGAAGAGACAAACTGACAAAAAGCTATGCCCTCACCTAGTTCTGTCTGGTTGTCAGGTTACCTGTTTCTTTCTTCTTTTTTTCTTTCTTGAGACAGAGTCTCTCTAAGTAATTCAAGCTGGAGTTGAACTCATTGTTGATCTCCAGTGATCCTCCTGCCTCAGCCTCTCAGGTTCGGGGATCACAGACCTACACTGCCACACCTGCTATGGGTCCCTGTTTGATACAACACCTCAAACCCTTCCTGCCCTGCTCTCCAGCAGTGACCGTCAGAGTGGAGTGGTTACAGATGGGAGAGAAGCCAGGTCTTGGGAGGCCAGGAAGGACTCCTAGCTGGCTCTCAGCTGGGGACAACCTGTCCTATACCCTTACCCAGCAGCAGCTCCATATACGTAGAGCTGGGGGTCCCCTGGGCCCATGTTTCCAGGGCTGGATGTGGACCTGCCCCAGGATGGGGATGAGGGGTTGTAATGGGCCTTTAGGGACTCATTAAGGTTTTTCTCTCAGCCCTGGGGCCCCTGGGGGTGGGGTGGTGCCCAGTGGACTGGCTGGCGTCTCTGCCCTTCCTAGACACAGCAGCAAGGCCCTGAGAGTGGCGCTGGTGACTGTGGTGTGGACTCCTCCAAAGCCATGGGGCTCTCAGCCCAAACCCCAGGAACAGCCAATGCTAAGGGCTACAAAAATAAAGAGTTTATTTCCTATCCAAAAGTGAGACATTGGGCAGAGGAAGGCAGGGTTCAGAAAAGCCCAGACCCCGAGCAGAGGGCGCTGAAGTGAGGGGCCCGGCTGCGGCGGGGGTGGGCAAGGTCGGAGCGATGCTGGAGCCTTCTGAGTTGCTGCCCAGCAGCAGGAGACACCAGCCTGAGTGACAGCCTGTAGAGACATGGACACAGATGCTGGCCAGCAGATCCTGGGGTAGAAACAGATGCTTGGGGCCCAAGAGGCACCAGCACAGGTGCCAAAGCCCTGCGTGCAGACCCTGCCCGTGGAGACCAAACTGCTGGGTGTTGGGAAGTGACCTGGCAAGCTGGGACTGCAAAGGGCCGGCAACTGTAGGTTCTGCCTAAAGGGGACAGTGGGCATCTAGGCATGGGGACATGTCCCTGTGACTCCAGTACTCTGGGAGGCTGAGACAGGAGGATCACCAAGTTCAAGCCCAGCCCGGGCAACTTAGCAACTTAGTGAGACCCTGTTGCAAAAAAAAAAAGAGGTGGGGATGTAACAAAAGTCAGTGCAAAATCCAGGGGTTTAACCTCTAGTGGTCCCCAAACCAAGCAATAACCAAAAAGGCCATCCAATAACAAGTAGTCACCAGTATTTGCCAAATAACTACTGGCTCGGGGTGCGAGCTTTGAAATCCTGAGGCAAAATTCTTACTATATTCCCAGGCTGGGCTTGATCTTGCAGTCCTCCTGCCTCTGCCTCCCAGAGTGTAGAAATTACAGGTGTGCGTCACCACTGCCAGGCAGAATACGGAATTTTAATGTGACCTGTCTTCTTTGTTTAATGTGGGCACCTAATCCACATTTTGGAAAAATGCAGAGAATGCAGAGGAGGAGCGGTCAGTGTGTTCCCTGCGCACACTGGGAGCCCCTCTGGCCTGACCCAGGGCCGGAACATTCTGGTTGCTCAGATGCCACCCAGAATAGCAGAGGTGCAACCTCAAGGTGGCACTGCCCTCGGGGTCTCCCGTGGAGAACCCAGGAGCTGGGACAGAGGGCCCAGGGTTCACCAAGCTACCTCCAGAGTGGAATTCCCTTCTGGGGACACAGAGTCCTGCCCAGGCTTTCATTCCAGGCTGCCCCAGGGCCCACCCACCCACATCCCAGTGCTACCTGCTCCAGGATCCAAGGAGGAGAGGAGGCAGGGCACTGTGTCCGCCCGGCCCAGTAGGCTCCATTTCCGTCTCTGCTGTCGGCTGTCTGTCTGTGGATGGCCCCTCGATGAGGGGGATGGGGGAAGTGGTTTGTAGAAGGGGTTAGGGTCAGAAGTCCAGAGAATCCAGAGCCAGCCAGACCAGCTGGTGGCAGCCGACCCCCAGGCCGAGGGCCCACCTCCTCCCCATCGGTAGGCGGCAGTATCCACTCCAGACAGGCCCGGGCCCCAGCCGGGGTCAGTGTAGCGTGTCCGAACTTGACTGGAAGCCAGGCCTGGTAAAGTTTAGGGTGGGAGGTGAAGCCTCCGGCTCTGGGGGGGCTCTTGGCAAGTCTGGCTGTGAGGGATGGGGTGCCAGGGTGGATGGTGTGAACCTCGTCTCCACTATCCCTGTGCTAGCCGGGCAGTGGACCTCAGCAAGCGTTGTATCTTGGAGACTCTGGGGAGCTCCAGATGCACATGGAGAGCTTCGTGGTAGCCGCTGGGGGCGATGACGAAGGTCTGGGGGCCAGGCTGTGGGTGCTGGGGGGCCCAGGGGACCCAGGTGGCCCTGCAGCAGCCCCATCACATGCCGAAGCTCCTGGCTCAGCTGAGACACCTCCCGGTTGAGGCGGGAAAGCTGTTGGGGACATACAGGGCGTCTGGCAGAGCCACAGCCCTGGGCACACACCCTTGTGGCTTGTAGAACTCCTCAGCCTCACCCCAGAGAAGGGTCCAGGCTGGACCCCTCAGTCTCCATTCCCTTCCTCAAGGCAAGGACATCTGGGCCCACCCCAGCTACATTCCAAGCTGTTCAAGCCCGTTTTAATGCTTGGGATTGAACCCCAGGCCTTGGCCCGGAGCTGCAACCCCAGCACTTGTGGACCTTTACTTTGAGACCTTAGTCTCACTAGTTACTGACTCACCCAAACTGGGTTTGAATGTTTAATCCTCCTGCCTCAGCCTTCTAGAGTGCTGGGACTACAAAGCAGGTGCCACCGCACCCAAGGGACTCCAATAGACACTCAGGTTTGGGGACCCTGACCTAAAGGTGGAGGCACTTCGGGAAGTGACAGCAGGAAGGCTTGTCCCTCATCTAGCAAGCAAGGGCTGGTCCTGCCCGGGCCTAGGCTCCATCCCTTTGGGGTGCCAACTGTTTATCAGAGCCCAGGGAAGGCAACTCCCTGGGGCGAGCCTGGCTGCACTATGGTGACAGACAACAGAGATCCTGGACCCTGGGAAGGAGGCAGAATAGCACATGGCCTGCCAAACCTGGGCTTGTCCCAGCCGGGTCCCCCAGGCATGAAGGCCTCTCCTGTCCTCTGCCACCATGAACCTCTGTGAGCTGTCCTTTCCAGGGCCAGGTGTAGGGGGCCAGCCCAGGCAGGAGAGAACCCCAGCCTTGAGATGGGGGTGGACAGGAGACCCAGGCTGGCCATGAGAGCCTTTCACTGGGAACTGCAGTGCATCTCACACCTCCGGGGAACATGTTTTACTGTTTCACCCAACCCAGAGAGCCTATGGGACTCACACAAGAAGATCCAGCCCTGTGAGGACTGGACCCCAGGACCGGCTCCAGAGCCCTCGGCCCTGCTCCTCAGGATGGCAGGAGCACCCACCTCACCTACCTCCTGGTTCAGCCTGCACACTTTCTCTTGCACCTCCTCGGCCTCAGTGGTCAGCGCCCAGCCTGTCCCGGTGCCTGCACGAGAGGGAGAGAGGGGTGGGGCATCTCAGCCCACAGCAGGGTGAGCAGGAAACAGGGTAGGAGGAACTCTGGGGTCCTGGACTGGGGAAACCAAGGCCCACGGGCTGCTGTGAAGGTCCTGGAGTTCCCCAGCCATGTCCCCTCCTCTACCCTCTGGGCAAAGCCTCTCAGCACCTGACCACAGCCCCCGAAGCTGTGTGTGCCCTGATGCTTTCCATGGCTGTCCCACTCCACAGGGCTCTCCTTTCTTTTTGCTTTTTTTTTAGTACTGGAGATTAAACACTAAACTACATCCCCAGACCTTTATTTAATATTTTATTTTGAGACAAACTCTTAAGTCGCTAAATTCCCTAGGCAGGGTTCAAAGTTGCAATCCTCCTGCCTCAGCCATCCAGAGAGTGTGCTTCACAGGTGTGCGCTGCCATGCCAAGGGATCTCTTTAAGAAGCAACTCCAGTGTCCTCTCCTCACAGAGTCCTGTCTGTGTCTTGGCTGGGGTATTTCCCACCTGATTTTAGACTCATTTATCAGGGTACACCATTGTTCCCAACACTAGGGAAGGGATCTCCCAAGGAGTGGGTCAGGTCTCGTTTATCTGTGCATTCCTAGCATGGTGATTGGCCATGGTGCCATGTGGACAGATGGGTGCATGAATGGAAGATGGATAATGGGTGACATGTGAAGGAAGGATGGAGGATGATGTATGGAGGGTGATGGATGGGATGGTGATGGATGGAGGGTGATGGATGGAGGGTGACGGATGGGAGAATGATGGATGGAAGGTGATGGATGGGATGGTGATGGATGCATGGTGATGGATGGAGGGTGATGAATGGAGGGTGATGGAATTGTGATGGTTGGAGGGTGATGGATGGGAGAATGATGGATGAATCATGGGTGATGGATGGATGGTGAGAGGATGAGTGGTGGGTGACGAACGGTGGATGGAAGATGGAGGAAAGATGGAGGCACAGATGGAGGGATGACTGTGAGCTGACATCTGCCACTGCCCCTTACCTGTGTGTGGGGTCTGTGAGCGGGGTCTTGGGGGCTCAGGCCTCCTGCTGAACCGGAAGGTGGAGGCCTCAGCTGTGCTGCCCGAGTCTTCGATGCCATCCACTACCCTGGGGATGGGGCAGTGCCCGTCAGCACCACGCAGGGTGCGTGGGACTCAGCCACGGAACGAGGAAGGGCAGTGGTTAAAGGGATGCGCTGCAAGCTGCGTTTAGGGGGTAGGGGCTGCAGAGGATAGGAAGAAAAAGCAGTAGTGGAAAGTTCTGGAAGCCAGAGGGGACTCGGGAAAGGCAGCAGAGGCTGGCGTCTCACCGGGGACTGAGGTCCGGAGGTCCGCAGGTTCCCAGCGGAGGAATGAGAAGCTGGGGGGGCTTCCAGGCAGCAGAGCCCCTGAGAGGGCCGTGGGGAGAGGGGGAGGCAGAAAGGGAAGAAGAGGAGGCCGGGGCGGAGAACAAGGGCAGCTCCTCGCCCAAGAGGCTGACTAGGGAGCCCTGGGGCTGGGCGGGGCTGAGGTTGGGCAGCAGGACGGGCCGAAGGGGCCTGGGTCCTCCCCCAGGCTCCAAGCTCGCCTCTGTTTCCGCGATGGACGGCAGGGTCTTGTCCGAGAAGGAGCCGAGGCTGTCGGAGCGGGGCTGCGCAGAGGGATGGTGGCATTGCAGGAGAGGGACAGCAGCCTCTCCCCACCACGCCTGCCCCACCTGCCTGGGCCGAGGGTTACCTGGGAGAGGCGGGGTGACCGGGATCCGCGGCCCAGGCCCTGTAGGACAGGAAGTTCAGCCCCGCCCAATGGGGCGGAGTCAGACACCTCCAACCCGGCCCCAGGTTCAGCCCTGCCCCATGGGGGCGGAGTCAGATACCTCCAACCTGGGCTCCAAGGAGAGGAGGGTAGCGAATGGGAGGCCGAGGGTGCTCACAGATAGGGCATGGGTGGGGAGGAGGAAGCAGAGTCCAGCGGGTCGAGGAAGGGTTGGGGCTGCAACAGTCTCCGGGGATGAGGGTGTCCCCTGGGCTCCCGGGGGGCTGGGGCAGTCGGGTTTGGAGAAAGCAATCTAGGGGGTCGACATACACTTGTGTGGCTGCCCTGTCGCAGGTTGAACGTGAGGTCACGGGGCAGGCCAGCTCGGAAGGTGGCCCCGTACTCGGGGTACAGCCGCAGGACCTCAGCCAGTCCTCGGCTGCTCAGCTGCTGCAGGCCACAATAGGTCAGGGCTTTCACATCGGCACTGGTCTTCAGCACGCAGCTTGGATCGGCTTCTGGCCCGGAATCCAGCCCGGGCTCAGGGATGTCTGCCCCAATTAAGTCCCCCTTCCCTGAGGGGAGGGATGGCGCAGTCAGCTGTGGCAGAGGGATGACTAGGAAGGGTGGATGGATGGACGCATGAAGGATGGATGGATTGGTGGGGGATGGTGGATGGATGGGTGGGTGGATGGGTGGGTGATGGTGGATGGATGATGGCTGGATGGCTAATCCATGAGGATGGTCAGATGGATGATGGGGGGAGGTGGCTGGTGGATTGGAGGGGTGATAGGATGTTGGAGATAGTTATGGAGGCCGGATCCAAGGCTCAGTGGAGATCACCAAGGGAGGTGAGACAAGACCAGTGGAGGATGACAAACGGAGCCAGGGAGACATGTATGGGTGTGTGAGGAGGGCTAGAAATGACCAGTGGAACCGGGTGACCATCCATGCAGCAGCCAGTTAAAGGGCCAGAGCCCAGAAAGATCCAGGTCATCGGGAAACAGTCGACAGAGCTGGGCCCATAGGGAAAGCGCAGTAGCCTTGGGGGGAGCTCAGATGGGTTGTGGGCAGTGGCAGGTGGTGTGAGACCCTCACCCAGGATGGCCAGCACCGTGCTGTCTCGCAGCACCTCCAGGGAGCCAGAGCACACATAGTAGTGGGCCTGCAGGGCATCCCCGCGGCGCAGCAGGTACTCGCCCGGGGCACAGAAGGAAGTCTTGATGTGCAGGGACAGGGCCCGCAGGCAGCCCCGGCTCGCTGCCCCAAACAGCGGCAGCTGCAGGATCTCCCGGTTCAGGTGCATGGCGATGTCGGCTCTGAGCTCTTCTGGGAAGTCGCGCAGTAACTGCATAAGGGGCAGACGTCACTCCACTGCACACGTGCCGTGCATGTGCAGGGCAGCACCTGTCCCCCCACCTCCAGGAAGCCTCCCACGTTTGCAACCTCGATCTCATTGGTTGTGTCCAGCTCCCAGCCTGACACCCGGAGCAGAGGTGGGGCTTCCTCCTGGGGCACCACATGAGCTGCCCCGTCACTCTCACACGTCCTCACACATCGTCGTTCTCAACCCCCCATAGCCCAGAGCCACTGCAGCGGATTAGCCTTTAACCAGGAATCAGGACACGCTGCCTCTCCAGGGGCCTTGGTCACCCCAGGGTTATACAAGGTCCTCCTAGGACCTTCTAGGACAGAGCATGTGTCCATGTCTGCATTTCCTACTGGGGCGGCCTCGACCACTCTGGCCTCGCCCCCTATCTATCCCGTCTCCTCCCTCAGCCTGGGCCACCTCTTCCTGTTCCTCCCCACCCCACTGTGAAGCACCTGTCACTGCCCACTCCTCCCTGCCTGGGCACCAGCTCCTGATTCCGGCGCCCTTGGGAGGTCCCTAAACTCTACCGCTGACCTCACCCATCCCTGAGCCCCACCAGCCCCACCCTCACCTGTGCTGCCTCCCCCTCCCCACAGTGCCCCAGCCCACGCTGGGCTTCCTTAGGGTCTTTCTTGCACCTAGCTGGAGACCACCCTGGGCCCGGCCATCCAGCCCTCGAGAGCCCCAGCAATCCACTCCCTCCCCACCCCCGGGGCTGCCTTCTAGGCTCAAGGTGGGCTGCTGGGCCTCCTGCCGCCTGCTCTGCAGCCCCTGCCCTTCTCACCCGGCAGCTCTGAGCCCTGAACTCGCTTGGCTCTGGTTCAGCTGCCAGCCCTTCTGGCTCTGTGTTCCTACATCTCTTTCTCTCTCTCTTAGTTTCACTAGGTAGCTCAGGCTGGCCTTAGACTCTTAGCGATCCTCCTGCCTCAGCCTCCCGGGTGCTGCTACGACAGAGTACCCCATCCCTGACATACTAGTCTCTGGAGTGGCAGGGTCCAGGCCTGAGCTGCCTCTGACTCCCGTGGTTAAATACAAAGAAAAGGGATTTGGACAGAGTGGGAGGGCGCATCATGGCTGCCTGTTCATAGACGGTGGTGACCCCAGCCTACCCCGTGAGCCCACCCACCTCGTCGGCGTCGATGCCGCAGTTGGCAGCCCACGTGGTCTGGAAGTACTCGAGCACACGCTGCTTGAGTGGCCGCGGCAGGCGGTGCACGCGCACAAAGTCCTCCAGATCCTTCACGCGGCGGTGGTAGAGCGAGCGGCGCGAGTACAGGCGCTGGATAATGGCGGTGACGTTGCCGAAGACCACGGCGTGCATCAGCGCTGGAGACAGGTGGGCGGGGCGTCACAGGTGTCCCGGGGGCTCTGCACACCCTCCAGGCCAGGGCTTGGGCCCCAGAGTCCCCAGCCAGAGCCGGGCTGGCGCCTGGCCGCTCCCTGCTGGGGCCTGCGCTCACCACCAACGAGCATGGTGCAGATGGAGAAAACCTTCTCGGCGTCTGTGTTGGCGGACACGTTGCCGAAGCCCACGCTGGTGAGGCTGCTGAGCGTGAAGTAGAGCGCGGCGATGTAGGCGCTGCGCCGCGAGGGCCCCGCCGAGCCATTCACATAGGGTGCGTCCAGCCGCCGGCCCAGCTCCTGCAGCCAGCCTGGGGGTGGGCGTGGGCCGGGTGGGACTCAATGGCACTGGGGGAGGCCTGGTTCTGAACCGCGGGGCGCTTGGGGACCTGGAGCGAGGCAGGAGGGTCCCCTAGGGCATGGGTTGGCTGAGGTAGGAAACGTCAAGGCTCGAAAAGAGAAGGTAGGCGGCCTGGGCCAGGAGGGAGGCAGTGCACTGCCACTCCGGGGCACAGAGCGGGCCGCGGCTGCGGAGGTGTTCGAGCCCAGGAGTGGGGGCAGTGCACGGGACTGAATCCAGGGTTTTCCACGGAGCTGCATCCCCAGTGGTTTTTTTAAAAACTAATTTATTTATTTATTTATTTTTGAGACAGGGTCTCACTATGTAGCCCAGGCTGGCCTCAAACCCATGATGATTCCTCCTGCCTCAGCCTCCTTGAGAACTGGGATGACAAGTGTAGGATACCATGCTGGTTAAGATTTTCTTAATTATCTCGATAATGTCCTTTGGGGCTGTGTTTTAGGCTGCCAGGTTTGCCCTGGGCAGCATCCTTCCGTCTGATCTCCACGGAGCCCAGGCAGGTTTGGGGGATCACTGGGGATGTGGGGGAACCTGAGAATCCTGGGGAGACTGGGGGGGAGAGGACAGGTGACAGGTGGGAAGCATGAGTCTGGGTTGGTGGCTCACCAATGTCCCAGAGCAGCGGGTTATTGGCCTCCATCTCTTGGCGCCCGATGACGTACCAGATGCAGGCCATCCAGTGGGCCAGGAGCGCGAACACCGACATGAGCAGCATGAGCACCACAGCGCTGCACTGTGAGTACCGCTCCAGCTTCTGCAGCAACCGCAGGAGCCGCAGCAGCCGCACCGTCTTCAGTAGGTGTACGAGGGAGGTCTGCAGAAGGAGAGGGATCAGAGCAGCTGGGTGGACACTCAGGAGCCCAGGCGGGGAGAACCGGGAGATGCAGGGGGAGAGGAAGGAATCAGACAGCAGCCACTAAGCATCCGTGATCCTCATAAAGACCAATGCCAGGGGTCTAGCTCTCAGCTTAGCTCCTATCCCTGGGGCCAGCCACGCACCAAAGCCCTTAGGGGGCGCCCTGCCTCAGAGCCTGTTGGGACAGTGCAAGACAGGGATCTGGGACCAGGGAGAAGCTCTAGCGAGGGCAGGAGCTACAAAAAGCCTGGTAGGGACCCTTCCTGTCAGGGGCTGAGCTTGGGTGGGTGAGGCCACTGGGGCTTCGGATAGAACCTTAAGGTGCATCTGGATCCCAGGGAGTTGCATTTGGGCGCCGTTCTGAAGAGCCAACCTGGCAGTGCTCCTTTGCTGAGCTGTATCCCCAGACTTTATGTTCGGAAACAGGATCTGGCTAAAATGCACAGTTGCCTGGTAGGTAGGACTGGAACTTGGTGCACTCTTGACTCAGCCTCCTTCAGTGCTGGGCAACACTGGCTATATCAGCACAACTGTTTTTTCTTTTTTTAGTTTTGGGGATTGAACTGGAGCCTTGAGCATGCCTGGCAGCATTTTAACACTGACTTACACCCCAGTCCTGAGATTGCTGTCTTCATTATGGTTATTATCATCACTGTTTGTTGTTACTGTTTAGAGATAGGGCCTCTTTATGTAGCCCAGCATGGCCCTGAACTCTCAGCAACTCTCCTGCTTTAGCCTCTCCAGTCCTGGGATTACAGACATGTACCACCACACCTGGAAATTACTGTTTTGTTTTGAGACAGGGACTCCTTATGAACTCACAGCGATCCTTCTGACTCAGCCTCCTGAGCACTGGGACGACAGGTGTGCGCCACCATGCACAGCTCTATGATCATTAATTCTTAGTTAGCCCTTCCTGGTGTGGAGATGAGAACACCGCTGGGTTCTGCACCGCTCCTGAACTGCCCTGTATTCTCTCATGTGGGGTGCAGGAAGTGGACAGGACGTGGCCCCAGTGCTCCTCATAGGCCTGTCTAGGGTTCACACCTGCCTCGGCCCCTGGCTGGCTCCAAGCCTAAGCCCTGCAGGGTGTCCCCGGCCCCTAGGCCCTGTGCCCTGTGCCTCTTGCTCTCCTCAGGCTGGAAGGTCCCCGGCCCGGCTACTTTGCATCTGTGCTGTTGGTACCTTGCCTTGCTATCACTGCCTGGCCTCTCTCTGGATGCCCAGAGGGCAGGTGACAGCTGGACCAGGAGCCCGGGACCTCAGCAGCCGCTGACTGTGTGGCCTTTGGCATACTTTGGAGCCTCTCTGAGATGACTCAGAGGCAGAGGATTCAAGACTCTTCCCTGAAGACAGCAGGGGAAACACAAGCCGGACTGCAGTGTGCCCCTGGGCTGGTGGTGCAGGTTATGCCCGCAAGGAGGGCTGGGGACGGCATGGTCAGGCAATTCCAGTATGGGGGATGGCTAGGGGTGAGTGTACACCTGTGAGGCTACAGGGCAGTCATGCACAAGCACACGTGTGTAGAGTGTGCACACACATGTGCACAGCCAGAAGAGGAGGCCTGCAGCCGTTGGCGGCTAGTTAAATCAGGCTGCGTGTAGGTGGTTTCCTGCTATATCCCAGTGCCGGGGAGGCACCAGGGAAAATGCTCCCCTCCATTCCCCACAGTTGAGGGGGTCTGGGGACACAGGTACAGCTGAGAGGGCCAGTGCCTACCACTCCGGGCAAAGCTGGGGGCCCTGGGTGAGGGTCAGGTCCTCCCTGTCTCCTTGGGACTCTGCACACAGCCTGGCTCCATGCCCGGCTACCTGGGCTCCCCTATGGCCCCGGTTACCCCTGCCTGCCAAAGTCTACGCACCCCAAAGCCCCAGCCCCAGCCATGGAGCCGCTGCACCTCCTGCCCAGGCTGCCCCAGCCCCTGTGTGCCAGGCTGCTTCTGCCCCCGGTCCCCTTCCCTGCCACTTTTGCCAGTGGTCTCCAAGCTTTTCCCAGCCCCCTGCCACAAACCTTGGCCCCAGCCGGCACGCCACACACTTCTCTGTCCCAGGGTCCCCTCGCCCGCCAAGGGGCTTGGGGGCTGAGCCCTTGTCCCTTCCTCCTACTGAAACCATGCCCTGAGTGGGTCCCAAAGACGGCTAAATGCTCATCATTTGTTTGCTAAATAGAAATGGGAAAAGCACCACTCTTCTGGCAGCTGCCCAAGCCGCCCCAGTCACCAGAGTTAGCTTCTGTTCATCTCAGTTTGCCTCAGACACCGGGGGGCGGGCTGAGCAACCGGCACCCACCCAGCCCAGGACCCCAGTAAGGCAGAGCGGCAGAGGCCTGTGAACGAGGTCACTCACCACGGTGACATTGAAGACATAAAGTAGGTCAAAAGGCAGAGCGGCAATGAGGTCCACAAAGAACCAGGTGGCCAGGTAGTGGAGGCCAATGGAGCGAGGCGCCGAGACCACCTGGCCAGACTGGGACACATAGGTGGTTCGGAAGTTCAGGATGATGTCTGTGGTAGAGAGGCCGTTCCTGGGTGCATGGCCAGGGGAACTGGGGCGTGCTGGGGGTGAGCTGTGAATAGGGGCATGCAGGGCCCGGGTGGAGGAAGGCTCGGCCCAAGAGGTCCCCACAGCCCACCCGCCAGGTCGGTCTGCGGCCTACGAGTCGGAGGCGCTGACCCAGGATGAAAAGCATCTCCACCACGATGTCACTAACGAGCGTGTGTCGGGATGCCGTGGGAGTGTCATCATCGCCCGAGAAGCAGACGTTGTAGGGAACAGTGACCGCAACATAGAAGGTGGCAAGGAGGATGAGGCCATCCCAGACAGCCTTGGGGATGCTGTAGTGGAGGAGGAGGCAGCGGGACCCCCCCACGGAGGCCACCTTGTACTCGGGCACCGATGGCTTTGGCTCAAACATGTTCTAAAGGGAGAGGGGTGTCGGTTGGGGACACTTGGAGGAAAGGGGAACCAGGGCTAGGGAAGGGAGGGCAAGGTATGATGGGGAGAAGGGAGAGGCGAACCTTGCTAGGGCGGCCACGGCAGGAGATGGTTTGTGAGAGAGACCAGAAACTGACTCCTGCCATGTCCTCCTTTCTGTGTGGCCTCGTTTCATGGAGGGCCCCTCAGGACTCACCCCATGTGGCAAGGAGATTCTGACCAACCAGGTAGATTCCTTACCTGGAGGCTGGCTGGCCTCTCCCTCAAACTCCCTGGGCTCTGGGGGCCTAGACAGGGCGGGTAGGTTGGGGAAGGGGCAGCTAGCACCACCGACCCCGTCTGTGGCCCTAACTCTCTCTGCCCTGGTTCGATATGCCCCTAGGAGGTGGCACACAGGCGAGATGCCAGGCCCAAGGGTGGACTTTCTCTCCCAAACCAGAGCCGGTGAATTCCCACCTCAGGGTCAAGGCTGGGTTACATGGCAGTGCTGCCAGCGCTCCAGCCATGTGACATCACAAGGTAGCAATTGGTTAACCAAGGAGGATGGGCACGGAGGCAGCTTGTGGGCATGGATGGGGCAGCATGGTACCCAGAAGTGGGTGGGCAGAGTGCAAGCAGATGATGGAGACAGGGCAGCCGGGGCACCAGAGAGACAGCCCGGAAATTGGGGCCCAACAGGACGGCACTCACATTACTGGTCTTCATGCCTCCCTGGCCCTGGCGACGGAAGTGGCCAGTCAGCTGGTGTAGGATGGTGCGGCTTTGCCTCTTGGAGGACCAGAGTTTGGAACAGGCTCCCCTCCTGCCAAGGAAATTTTCTGTGGGAGGAAGGAAGGGTGTGTGAGGGTCTCCTGGGGACAGGTGGGTCTTGGATGACACACTGGTCAAGGACTTCCAGCCTTCCTACCTCCCACAACGTGCAATTACCATGGCTATTGTCACCATGAACACCTGGGGGGCCAAGCCCAGGGCCTCCACTCTGAGTGATGTCCTTGAAGGAGAAGAGGAACAGCACAACCTCACCCATCTCGTTCTTGATTGGCATCATGTCCAGGAGGCACCAAAAGGCTGAGCCTGCAGCATGGCGAGGACGGAGAGGGTGAGCTGTAATCCCCACGTGCCTGGCTTTCCTCCAGGCTGAGAGAGTTGGGGTGGGTGCCACTCACCGTCCTTGCGGTAGAAGCAGATCTCAGCCCGGTGCTCCTGGTGGCCCTCCAGGGCCTTGTGTAGCTGCTGCAGCACTGGCTTACTGGTCTCTGGGCCATAGAGGAAGTGGCAGCTGCAGGTTTTCTGCATGACTTCGGTGCGGCCGTAGCCAGTCAGCTCACAGAAGCCGTCGGAGCAGTACACGATGGGAAAGCCCCTTGGGCCCTGTGCATTGGCCAGCAAGAAGTTGCTGTCTGTGGGGGCAGAGATCAAGGTCAGGGTTAGTCCAGGAGAGGAGCAAGCTCCCGGGGCAGGGGCAGTAGCTCCCCTGAGCTGTGTCCCAGAGCCAGTGGCTTTCCCTAATGATGTATTCTGAAGTCAGGATGAGAGGGAGCAAAGGGACGAGGACCCAAGGGTGCCTGTAGCTGAGGCCCAACCACTGAGGTATTGGAGAAGGAACCCTTAGGGGCCATGCAGGCCGCCCCTGCCATGGAGCTCCAGTGAGGCAGCGCCTCCGGATCCGCGGGCCATGACCCTAGGCACCTTGATGACCTCTTCTGGGCCTCAGTTTCTTCAGCAAAGTGGGAGAGGAAACACTTTCACGGGTGTGAGAGTCATGTCATTCACTTGGGAAAACAAGTCCTGCATGACAGCCACTGGGAATGGGCAGGATGACACCCTTCCCTCAGCTTCAGGGCGGCAGGTGGCCTGTTATCCTGTGACAGTGATCAGGTGATGAACCCGATGGCCTCACGCCCTTTTATTCTCCAAACCCACAAATTGCCTTAGTTTGGGGGGCAGACAGGGCTGAGCAGGGTCCTCATGCCTGCCTTCCGGGAAAGGTCTCCTTTCTAACACCCTTTAGTTGCCCTCAGGGATCTCATCCCAGGGTTGGACATCGGGTGGGGGAGGGCAGTGAGAGTGGGGACCTGAGAAGCCAGCGACGCCAGCAGCAAAACCAGGCTGGTTCCCTGGGTCCCAGCAGAGGGACTTGTGGGTTATCTGGGGACAGTCTCAAGTGAGGGATGGGGCTTAAAACACGACCCATGCTGGGGCCTAAGGAAGGTGACAGTCAGGGGTAAGCTTCGATGGGGACATGGGGTGCAGAGGAGGCCCCAGGTGCAGGCTCCTTCTTCCATCCCAGGGCCTGTTGCCTGGGAGATGGGTGCTATGGAAACAGGGAGGGGTGGGGGGAAGGGGTAGGCGGGAGGGCACTGGCGGCTCATTTCCGCCCTCGGGTACCGCTCCCCTCCTGCGCCCTGCGAGGGTTCCCGAGGGGGCGGGGGGGGGGCGCACTGTGCCCCAACAGGGAGAGGGTGTTGGAAGAGGAGGCTGGGAGGAGCGATGCGGCTGTCCAAGGTGCTGATCCGGGACCGCGCTCGGGTGGGCGACGGGGTCTCTTGGACGCTGGGACGCCCCATCCCCTCCGCCCCATATCGGTCACAGGCGCCCCACTACTTGGGGGAGCGTGGCTCTCATCCAAGCCGTAGGCTGCCGCGGTCCGATCTGTATCTTTTTCCCTGAGGCAGGAGAATTGGCAGGGTCCTCAGAACACTTCGCCACTTTGTCCCGCCCTTGGGCCTCAGAACCTCACGCAGGTCACACCCCCTGCCCATCCCAATCGCACCGGGCTCTGTCCTCTCGGCTGGGGTTCCAGGTTTGCAGTGGTCGCGGGGGTCCCTGGCCCTCGGCGCCGCCCTCGCGCGGCCCGGCCCGCCCAACTCACGCGTGCCGTCAAAGCGGGTGGCGATGGTGTCCAGAAAGGTGTTCTGCGGGGCCAGCAAGCCCTTCATGACCGGCATGGCCCCGGGCCGAGGCTCCACAGCGAGCCGCGCGGCGGGGCCGGAGGGGGCACCCCATGCGCTCGCTGCGCTGCCTCCGCTCGCCGCGCCGTACCCCGGGCTCTGAGCGCCCGGCGCCGCCGCGCCCGCACTTCCCGCGGCTCGGGCTCTTCCCCTGGTGGCCCGCGCTCGCCACGTGTCCCTCACGGGAGGGGCTGCCGGCGACACCGCGCCGTTCGCTAGCAGCCTGGCGCGGAGGGGCGAGGCTCGGCGGTAGGACTCGCCTCCTCCAAGGGACGGCTGCGCCCCAAGCGCGTATTGGGAGAACAGGGGATACGCCCCCGCTTTAGGAGGCGTGGCTTTGAAGGGATACATCCTCCTTCCGGGACGGCCACGCCCCCATGCAATTGCTCCGAGGTTGGGGCCACGCCCACCTGATGGAAGGGCGGGGATTGGGAGCGAACATGCCCTCCTTCCTGTGGCCACGCCCCCGAGTGTGGTTCGGAGGTGCTTCGGCGGCTCCGCCCCATGGGTTTCCCCGCACGCGGCCCACGCCCGGGCTGGCTCCTGGTGCACAGTGCCGCCTACCGGAGTTTGGGGATCTCGCGACGAGCAGGCGTCCTGTGCTCCCGGGAGGTCGTAAGGGTTCTGAGGAGGGGGCGGGCGTCACGCCGGGAGCGGCTGGAACCCCAGCCCTGGAAAGCTCAGCCGGAGATCGTCGCCTCTCTGTCCTCGCGGCGCAGCGGCGCGCTCTGCTTCTGCGATGGCGGGGCTGAACTCGAAGCTCCTGGGTCGATTCGGGCCCCATGAGGACTCAGCCTGTCCCAGCCGAACAGTACCTATCACCCGGCAGGAAATAGATGAGGCAGGCGGTGGTCGGGACAGAAGAGCTAAGGCCGGGAAGTTTGCGCGGGAGGGGCCATGCGGCGACATGCTCCGGTCGCCCAGTCTGTCCCCAGGCGGAGCCCGTCCTCCTGCGAGGCCCAAGGGGTTAGCAGAGCCACGCCTTTTTACTCTGCTTTCGCGAGTCGCGGAGTGTCCCGCGGCCCCTACCCACCGAAAGCTGCCGTCCCGCCCCTGAGCCGGAGTGCAGGTGATAGCGAGGCACGCGCCTGCCGCCCAGTGGCCCGCGGTCGCAGGGAAAAACTTGGCACTGGTAGGCTTGTGGCTGCGCCCCCAGGGTCTCCTCTCAGGTTCCCGTGGGTCTAGGTTCTGTGTCCAAATCCTCCTTCTAGTAAGAACCCGACTGGTGGAGGGCCAGAGGTCTCCTGCTCCGGTTCCCCTTGTCCTAATGTATCGTTTACCAGGACCGGCATGCTGGGGTTAAGTCTGCCCCTCAGGAATTTGGGGGAACAAGCGTCTTTGGCTAGAGCTGCAGAGAAATCTTACCCTTCCCCCACCCTCATCTCTGCCTGGGAACTTTCCGTGGTCAGTTGTGGTGGTCCAAGCTCGTAATTCCAGCTACTGCGGAGGCAGAGGCAGGAGGATCCCAAATTCAAAGCCATTCTGCTTACATTTAGGGAGGATCTTCCGCAACATGAAATTAAAAAGGGATGGGCTGGGATATAGCTCAGTAGCACAGTTCCTGCCTGGTAAGCGCGAGGTCTTGAGTTTGATTCGTGGTACAAAAAAAAAAAAAAAAAAAGATATAAAGGGCCAGAGATGTCACTTTGTTCCCCAGGGTTAATCCCGCCCGTGATGAGAAAACAAAAACTTTCTGTGCCCACATAGGATCTCTCCCCAATCTCTACGCCTCGCTGAGCGCTGCGGGAGGTTCCCTGTTGAACCCAGATCCAGGCCTGGTCTTTCCTTGTGCAGCCTGCCTCGCCCTCCCGGGTTGCAGAGTGACTTGCAGATCCCAGGGTCACGCGGGATGCTCGCTCGGGCGTTGCATGCTGGCCCAAGCGCTTGGGGCAGGCATGAGGCTCTCCCGCCCACCCGGGGACAGAGACCAACATCACGCACAGACCTCATCTTTATTGCTTTCTGTTAAGGACCGACACTGGGAAGCAGGGTGGGAGGGGTGGAGGCGCGCAGCGGACCTCGAGGGGGCTCAGAGCCCTCGCCGCGGCCCCGGCTGCGCACCTGCGCGGCGGCCCATGGTGAGGATGCCAGCCGCGTGGTTGCCGCCCGCCAACAGGAGGCGCTGCAGCCGGCCCTGCAGCCCCGCGGGCCTCGGCCGCCGCTTGCCCAGCGTGAGGATCCCGGCCGCGTGGTTGCCCGCGCCGTGCAGCAGCTCGTACAGCCGACACGAGCAGGTCTTCTGGCGGCAGCAGTCGGGCAGGGGCTGCGCGGCCGCCCAGGGGGACAGCAGAGCGGGCGGCAGGAGCAGCAGCAACAGCAGTGTCACGGTGGCCCAGGAGACCTGGGGGAGGGGGCAGCACGGGTGCTGTGAGCTGGGAGGGGGTCCAGACCCACGGCCAGCACCGTGCCGCTTCTGTGGCCTCACGGTCACTGCACTGTCCCACTTCTGCGCCCTTTCTGGGATCCTTCAGGGTCTGCAGAGCGCCGCCTTCAGGAAGACCTTGGAGACTGCAAGGCCCCCACCCCGCTTCTCCGGTTCCTTTGGGCTTCCCGCCCGGCTTAAAGCCTGTGCCCCGCCTGAGCACGCGTGTCATAATCTGTGTGTGCCACAGCTTGGAAACTCGGGGGAAACAGCGCCCCCGTTTAGTGTATTTCTGTTTAGTGTCCGGCTGGGACAGTGGGCACTGGCAGGACCCCAGGCAGTCATCTGCTGTCTGCTGCCTGCTGTCGCCTGGGGACACAGCAGCCAGGCCTGTGAACTGTGCTGAGCAGATCCTCCTGGGCAGGGCTGCTGAGGGAACCGGGGGGTGGGGGGGACTGGAGGTCAGAGGGACGGGAGGTGACTGTGAACACAAACTCTTAGGAGAACAGGGTGCAAATGCTGTCAGCTGAGGGGGACACCTGTGGCCTCTCCTGCAGCTCTGCAGCACTTGCTCCAGTCCCCTCATGGGCCACGGAGTGCTCCCATTCCCATGTCCCCGAGTCTTACCTTTGTGGGGGGCAGGCTCATGGTGCCTAGGGCTCTCTGGAGTGTCTGCAGATCAGGGGTCTGGGTGCCCAGGGTCCTCCCGGCTGTGACTGTGGCTGCCGCCAGGGCTGGGGTTTATAGTGCTCTGAGTTTCCGGGGAAGGGGGAAGCAGCTAAGTGTTCCCAGGGCCAAACAAAGGCTTGTGGCTAAGATTAGCACCCTGCAGAGCCCGGTCTCCAGGCTGAGGCCCAGGAATGGCCGCCCAGACTCCAGGCCCCCGTCATCGTCTGCCTGCCTGCTCCCTGGAGACCAGCGGTCTTGGGGTGCTAATGAGGCCACCTTGCACCTAGGAACTCGAGCACACAAAGCAGGCCTGGGACAATGAGGAGAAGGAGAAGGCGCTGGCTAATTAGGGCAGCACGGGGACCCACCATTGGGCCCCGGTGTCCATGCCATGCTGCAGGCCTCTCCCTCCTCCATCTGTGTCACTACCTTGGGGCCATCTCCATGGAGACGTTCCCCGGTCCTAGCATGGTCTCTCTGGCCCCTCTGCCCCCTCCATGGAGTGACATGGTAGAGACTTGGGATGCTTGCTGCGGGTAACAGGAAAAAAGGACGCCAGAAGCCACTAGAAAGTGTCTTCTAGGCTTGAGCCTCCGGGTTCAGGATGCTGTCCACTGCGCACCCAGCATGGAAGTGGTTTGTGGGGCCTCCAGGAAACCTGCTCTGGCAACGGGAGGACTTGGGAACAGCCTTGCCCACTCCATGCTCTGCTGGGGGCACAGGTGAGGCCCTGGGCTTTGGGGGACACTCTACTGTCCTGCAGGTATACTGCTTGGAGGATGAGTCTAGCCCAAGTGTGGGATACCTTGGCACTCAGGGTGGAGAGGGGACTGGGTGGTTGGGGACCCTGAGGGGTTCCCCAGAGCAGACTCGAGCCAAGGTTCTAGGTGGGAGAGGAGGTTTATTGGGGGCTGACCCAGGAGGCACCCTATGGTATGGGGCACTGTTTGGCAGAGTCCCTCCAGAGAGCTGTGAAGGACACTTCAGGGCCATTCCTTGATGGGCAGTGTCACTGTCTTTATTCACTCGACCTGTTCCGCTCCTCCCTGAGCAGCATTACCCTGGGGAGTCTCCCCACCCCACTCCCGGCTCGGGGGTCAGGCACAGGGCTGCAGCTAGGGCACACGGGAAGCTCCAGGAGGTGGAGGTGGAGGCAGGGCTGGCAATAGCTCTGATGGGCCAGGGACATCAGCTGTGCTGGGCAACTAGGGTGACCCAGGGCTTTTGAGGAGCAGGTTCAGGACAGCACCCCACTCTGCAGGAGCTGAGCCAGGTGCCTGTGCCTCAGGACACGGGGCATCTGGGGAGAAGCAGAGGAAGAGGGCCACGCAGCCAGGGTGGCTCCGAGGGCACTGAAGGCCCCACGGGCCACGAGGTGCACCTGGGCGGGGCCCATGCTGCCTCGGAGGCACAGGAACTTGTAGCTCAGGGAGATGTCCTGCAGGCAGAGGTCCAGCTGGGGACAGAGGCCAGGGTGAGGCGGGGTAGTCTGCATGCAGGAGTCAAATGTGTGCCAGGGCCTTCGCTGTGGAGCCTGCCCTCCCTCCCTCGGGCCCCAGAGGGAGACCTGGCCTCTCACTTTGCCTCGGTTTTCCTCCGACAGGTTCCTCAGCCCCCTCAGGTCCAGGAACACCTCATAGTGCGGAGCGGATCCCTTGGAGGAGTCTGCAGAGACCAGTGCCCACTGTTCCCTCAGGGAGGTCCTCTCCTGCTCCCCACATTGGTTTTTGTTTTTTTTTTTTTTTTTGATAAAGGGTATACTATGCAGTCCAGGATGGCCTGGAACTCACTATAGAGCCCAGGCTGGCCTCAAACTTGCTGAGATCCTCCTGCCTCAGCCTCCTGTGAGCTGGGATGACAGTTATGCACCACCACACCCAGCTTGAGATTCCCTATTCTGAGATGCACAGGAAGAGGGCTTCCTGGGGAGGGTGTACATAGAGGGAGGCCCAGGGCCTCAGCCTACACTAGACGGGCAGGGAGAAAGTAGGCAGGGACTGCAACAGGAAGGACTTGAATGGGATCAGCAGAGGACCTTGGTGTGGGGCCTTGGAGGAGACAAGGAGTAGAGTCCCAGCCCATCTGAGGTCCCCTGGCCTGGGATGTGGGTCACAGGGAAGCCAAGGACAGGAGGCAGGGCCCTGATGCTCACCCAAGACACTGCATCCCACACAACAGTGGTCCAGCAGCTCGGCGCCTGGCCACTGTGCCACAGCCCAGTACAGGGCCTCCAAGAACAGGTGCTCCCTGGTGACTTCGCCACACACGCTCAGGGCCTGGTCTAGCCTGGGAAAGAGCATGGCGGAAGTGCTGGGCCCAGGGCCCGGGGCAGCCCCTGGTACCCCGTGCACTCACCTGTAGACAAACCTAACCACTGGACACTGATTATGAGCGCCGACCACCTGAATCACATCACCCAGGTGGTACCTGAAGGGCAGCAGTAGGAGGAGGTCAGCTGAGCCCCTGCACCCCGAAGGGCTGGGCGGGCAGGGCCAGGCGGGCACCTGGTCAGGCTGGCATGGTCTGTGAGCACCATTTCATACTCTTCACCCTGTTGGGCCTTGGCCAGGAGGAGGGTGCAGGGTTCGTCCTCTGGGGCTCCCTCCTTGGCTGGCAGCAGCTCAATGAAGGGGGGCCCAGGGGTCAGGAGGTAGAGCCCCTGTGGCTGATCTGGCCACAGGTTCAGAGCTAGCACCCCTGAGGGGAAAGTGGCATGCCTGTCACCTGACACTGCTATTTCTTCCCGTGGGCTGTGGTAGCCTCCAGGTCTTGCCTTGGGCCCAGCCCCTCTGCTGCCTTCCAGGTTCCCCCCACCTCAGCTCCCCAGCTGCCCCCTTGGCCCTGGCTGGTGGCCCACAGGTGGCAGAGCTGGGTACAAGCTAGTGGGGAGATAGGACAGAGCTGGTAGCAGCCACCCCCTGCCCCACAGCCCTGCCCAACATCCGCTGACCTCCGGCAGCTGCAAAAGCCGGAGAGAAGAATGCCAGGCCTTGGCACCACAAGGCCCTGAGGGCAGCTACTGCCTCAGCCTGGCCGCCGGCGTCCAAAGTCACCACCACCTGTAGCTGTGGCCAGACACGCAGGGCCAGACCCCGGGGCCCCTGCTCCAGGGCTGCCCGGAGCTCAGCCGCCCGCCCTGGAAGAGGCACTCCTGGGTCCCCGGCAGCTATGGCCCCGGCCAGCTCTTCGCCCTGAGCCTCCAGGCCCGTGAAGACATCCAAAAGCCCCGTGGCTGTCCCGGCTTCCAGGACCCTGATCCCTGGGGATCTCAGGGCAGCCAGCAACAGGGTCCAGGGGTCCTTGGCGCCAGGGGGTCCTGCCAGGCCCAGGATGGGCCCCAGTCAGGGCAGTGGGCATGGCCATGGGGAGGTTGGGGTCACAAGGGCTGCAGTCCCAGGAGCCAGTGCAGCAGGGTGCGCCTTGCTGAGGGCCACCAGACCCAGCACAGTGGCCTGGGGACAAGAGTGGCTGTTGGCATGGCCCGTGGGCTGGAGGCTGGTACAGAAGGGTCCCTGTGGGGCTGGGCTGCAGGCATCCGTTACCTGCAGGGCGGCCTCCTGGGGGTACTGGCTTGAGACCAGGGGCTGCCCCCTCTGCTCCCCATTTTCTTCCTCTGGGGCCTGGCTCATCTTGGTCAGAGGGAGGCAGTTCCTGAAGGGACTCATGTCTGCAGTCCCCAAAAACACCAGAAACAACTCAAGAAGCCAAAGTTTCCCCAGTTTCAAGTGAGACTTGAGACTCTAGAGGAAGGGATCCCGAAGAGGCCTGGGGGGTGGGATGGGAGTGGGAGACGAACGGGTCTCTGCTGGAGTGGCTGAGCTCTGGGATCCGACCATCCTCCCTGGGGGTACGGTGGGGACCCAGGACTCCCCGAAGACACCACACCAGGGTCTGCTGCTGGCTTCAGGCTGCATGGTGGGTACTGTGTTCCAGTATGCGCCACTACCAGGCAGCCACGCAGTCCAGGGCACCCTGGGCAGCACCATAGCAGGCAGCAGCAGCAGGAACCAGCATGGCCTGCAGTGACTGGGACCACAGCCAGAGGCTGGGCAAAGCCAGAGCCCCAGGGCAGGCGGAGGAGACCCTGGGAACCTCACTGGCCTGGGTTCAAATTCTGCTGTGCAGTGCCCGAGCTCACACCCTCATCTCCGCAAGCAGGAGGGCAGCATCGGCCCCCTCAGAGCCCTGGGCTTGGCCTAGAGCTGCTGTCCAGCTAGCGACATGGCTCCCTGGCCACCTAAGGCTCTGCTCTGCTCAGGATCCTCTCTGTCCTGCCTCTGTGTTTCTCATGCGTCTGCCAGCAGGCCGGTCCCTGCCCACTCCTGCCCTGCTGGGGCCCTGAGCACTTCCACACTCTCCCACTTCCCACTTCCGGCTAGAAGGTGGGTGGGTGACTTTAAAGGACCAGTGCGCAGGGACATCCGGCATGGGTGGGGGGGACTCTTAAAGTGACAGGGAGGCTAAAAGAGGATTAGCTGGATGTGGGAGGCTGGGGACAAATAGCACCTCCCCAAACTTGTGGGGTGAAGAGAATGCGGCTCACTGCACTGTGGAGCAGATACAGGCCTGAGAGCCTTTAAAACAGAACTTTTTCCCGGCCCAGGTCATCTTCTCAAAAGTCGTGCTGGGCTGCACCCTTGCCTTTTTTAGTTTTTATCTTGAAACAAATCTCAGTTACTCAGGCTGGGGGAGATCCTCTTGCCTCAGCCTCCTCTAACATGGGATGACAGGTGTGCATGATTACGCCGGGCCAGAGAGAAAGTAGGCTTATTACTGAAGACGAGGCCTGCAGGTGGTATGTGTCAGGGGAGCCGGCTAAGGCGGCAGCACAGAGACTGGGAACCAGGGCTTTCAGGATAGACACTGACCGGTACCCAAGTGAGTCAGCCTTGAAGCCTGAGTTCATCCTGATGGAGCCTGGGCTCGGGGCAGCTGTGTTGACTCTCACTGGCTTTATCTGCAGGAGACTCAGAATTCTTAGATCTTCAGGACAGGAGGGAACAGGGTACCAACAAAGTCAGCCTCCTGCCCTCAGCCAAATCCTAGGCTCTGCCCAGGGCCCCTCCTCTGCCTTCTTCCCCACCCCTCTTACAGGGCCCTGGGCTCCACCCGCCTCCAGGGTCTCAGGGATCAAAGGTCTGCACCACCACACCTGCCTCAACTTTTGTAACATTTGCATTGGAACACAAACCTTTAGCTCGGTGTGGTGCTGCACACCTACAGTCCCAGTGCTCTAGAGGCTGAGGCGGGAGGATTGCCTCCAGTTGAAAGTCAGCCCTGGTCTTCTCAGTCCTGAAAACAAAAATGACCTCCCAAGCCCATCTACTTTTTAGCCATTTCCTTCCAATGTCTTCCCAATAGCTAAGCACCCACAAATCTACCTGTTTTGGGGGGACAGGTCTTCCTGTGTAGCTCAGGTTGGCCTTGAACTCACGGAGACCCTCCTGCCTCAGCCTCTGGAGTGCTGGGGTTACAGGCGTGCACCACGCCCGGCCTCAGGGTCTGTATTCTTCAGACATGTTAGTCATGTGCTGTCTTGGTGTGAGGATAATATCGGCTCCATGGTTTGAGTTGGGAAGGGTTCACTCCAGTTTTTAGAGACATTTATGAAGAATTGGTATTAATTCTTCTGTGTTTGTGGAATTCAGAGTCCTGAGCTTTTTGCAGAGTATTTTGAGTCCTGACTGATCTAGCTGGAAATTATTCCAGCTGTCTTTTCTTTTCTTTTTTCTTTTGAGACAGGGTCTCACCATGGAGTCCAGGCTGCCCTCGGACTTGCGGCAACCCCTCTGCCTCAGCCTTCAGTGCTGGCACACTCAGGACTGTTGCACGCCACCCTACCCTGCTCCACGTGCGAATCTGAAGCCCGGCTTTTCACCAGGAAGCATGCGGGCTGCCAGGGGAGCCAAACAGTCCCCCTTTTCCAAACATCACACGAGCAGGATGGTCCAAGGCGCCCTATCTGCCATCTCAGCCCATGCCACACCCTGAAGGCCACCTCCTCCAGCAGTTCCTCTTTTCCAGGCCACACGAATGACTCAGAACTTTTTCCTGCAAAGGCTCCCCTCCCCCACTGCACGACGGAAAGAAAGAAAAACCAGGACTCTGGGTGGCCCTGCAGGGGGAGCCTTTATTAGAAATAACATAAAATGCGCAGTTTGGTGATTGCCCCGATTGCACACGATACTCTTTGCTGACTAGATACTAATCTGCTTTGATGCTAAAAATACATATCTCAAATAATTTCATAAGTTTGAAGAGGAAAAAAAATTATAAAAGTATGCTTTTATTGTAGGAGAGGGGCTCTGCTTGAGTCCTCCCCGCCCCTCTACAAGCCCTGCGAAGCACATGGCAGGAGACGGGGACCAGGCTTTCCTGGCCTCCCTGGCAGCTGCAGGGACAGGGAGGCAGAGGAAGGTGCAGAATGCAGGCAGCGAGCGGGCGCACCGTCCAGTCCCTGGCCTCTCTCTGTCATCATCCAGTCCAGCCTGGTACCCACGGTCCTGGGACCGTGTCCACCACCAACCTGGAAGTGGGTCAAGGCCCCAGCCCTGCCAGGACAGAGGCAGCGGTTGGGGACACCTCTAAGACTGGCAGGGAAGGGCCGGGTGAGCCTGGGCCCCTAGGGTGGGCATCTGAGTGACACTGGGGTGACAAGGGAGGGGTTCGGTGGCCTCCACGTCCCACACAGTGATTCGCCTGCTCCACTGCCTGGCATAAAAAAATAAATCAGTGTACGAACCCGGGCAAGGCGAACAGCAGCTCTGCAAAAGGTCATCTTCCAATAAATAATTTACTACAGAGTCGTCTTCTTCAACAGCAAAACACTGGTAAATTCAGAAATTATTTTTGTAAAAAAAATACGTTTATTTACTCACATATAAAAATAAGGTTTTCGGGCCACCTCACCCGGGCGCCCTGCCCCTTCCAGGAGAGGGGCCGAGGGGTTGACCAGGGAGCTGTACGCTGGCCCTCTGCCTGCCCCTTCCTCCCGGGGTGACTGTGGAGAGATGGGGAGCGGCACCAGGCTGGGGCTTCCTCACAAACCTCTGGGGTCCCTGTCACCAACCCTGGCCAGCGCCTGGCATGCAAGGTGACAGGTGCTCTGGCTCCAGGCGCCCAGGAGAGGAGCAGGAGGGACCAGGCTGTGAACGGCCTAGGACCTGATGCACGCTGGGAGAATTTGGGTGTCCAATTCGGGTGTCCAGGAGAAAACCAAACAAGACCCAGTTTGGAAACAAGAACATTGGTGTCTGTACAAAGCCGTTACAAAGAAGAAGCATTCGGGAATCCGGGGATGGGAGGCAGTGGGGGCACAGGGCCCTGGGGAGGGCGCAGTCCTCTTGCCCACGTGTGAGACAAGTGGCAGTCCCAGAGGCGGGGACTGGACAGAGGGAGGCCACAGAGAGGCCAACTGTCCCTCCTTGTCCCTACCCCCGAGGCATCCCCACCCTCTGTCCTTCTCCTGTGGGGGCAGCCACAGGCCACCACACACAACCCCTCAGTCACCTCCTTGCTGCTCGAGGGAATCGCAGGGCCACTTGGGGCTCGGGAGGGGGGTGGGTGAGAAGGGGAGAGGGGAGGGGCAGAAGCGCCAGGAAGGGCACGCAAAGGGACGCATGCGTGCGCCCCCGCACGGTTACCACCGTGCACAGAAACACTAGCGTCACGATGAGGCCCAGAACTGTACTTCACATTATAAGCTTTGTTTCCAAGGAGAAGCAGGTCACGGACATGGTGTCCCCTAGTGCTATCCCCTGGCCTGGCCAGGACGGAGAAGCTGAGGAGGCTGGGTCATGATTGTGTGTGGGGCATCCACTGACTGTCCATGGGCCGGCCCAGGAGCTCCTCCACGCGCCGAGCCACGTCCATGGTGTCCTCCAGGTCGAAGTCCCCGTCTGTGTCTAAGACGGAGTCCGGGCTTGGAGAAGAAGGGAGGGGAGGGCATCAGGGGCCAGCTGGAGCTCACTAGGGGCCAGGCTAGGGGCCCCAGGCAGCAGGGGTCCTCTAGAAAAACAAGGCTAGTGAGCTAGCTGGGTGGCACACGCCTGTCAGCCTAGCACTCAGGAGGCTGAGGCAGGAGGACTGCTGTGAGCTCGAGGCCAGCCTGAACTGTACAGTGAGACCCTCTATCACAAAACCAAAAAGGAAAGAAAAGCACAACTGATTGGAATACTGAGGACTGAGGTGGTCTGCGCCTGGGTTCTGCAGACAGAAGTGAACCCCAGGGCCCACTGCAATGCAAAACCACTGCCAGGCCAGGCTGCATCACAGCATGAGGCAGGGCTGGCACCTGACTCAACCCCACTACATCACCGCTGTCAGTGGCTGCATCCTCCTCGAACCCCACCGGCCAGTGCCCTGGCCCGGCCCCAGTGCTGAGACCCGCCAGGCTGTGATGTCCCCGGCCCTGTAGGGGTATGACCCGACGCCAGCCCCCCATCCCCTGAACACCACCTACTTCTGTGGGTACAGGTTGTACGGCGCCTGGGGACACACGGCTGGGGACGGGGCCTGGTCCATGTAGGTGGCGCTGGCCCCACTGTCCGCAGATGCAGTCGCAAACCTGCAAGGGGTAGCGGAATGGTGGGGGGCTCAGCTTCTCCGGGGCTGTCTTGGGGGGCATCTGGATGGCTTTTCAAAGTACAGAAGGACAGTGCTGGGGCAGGGGTGTCGGGCACAGCATGACTAAGCCCTGCTCCTTCCCAGGGCTGAGCCGGGGATCCCCAGGTGCCATGGGTTCTGGGGTGGGGGTAGGGTTGGCAGCGGGTGGACACTTACTCGGGGACCACCTGCTTGATCTGCGGCTTCACGTAGCCATCCACTGCTTTCGCTGTGGGACAGTGGGGGTGAGATAAAAATGCATCTCGCTCAATAGGACAGCAAGGTCCCTGCTCTTAGGAGGAGATGCAGCCACCCACCCTATCTTAGGATAACAGCACCTCCCCAGCCACCTGCCTCCTCTAGCGTCTCCTGGGACCGCATAGCAAAACCAAGCCCCCAGGCCGAGATTGCACCAAGGTGAGGTCCCCCAGGCCTGTGCTTTTCACACCTGTGGTGTTCAGGGTGACCTGACGCCCCGCCCCAGGGCTGACCATGGGACTGGACCCTGTCAGAGGACAGGAAGAGCAAAGGTGGGTGAGGCTGGCTTCCTGGGGACCAGCAGCTCCCGTGCCATCAGCTCAGCGGCCCCAGAGGAGAGGTTACTCAGCCCCAGCCGCCCAAAGGCTATGCATCTGTGCTTCCGCCCACAGCTAGACAGATACTTTAGGAGCAGAACTTTTTTAGTAGAACGTGGTGGTGCACTCCTGTCAGCCCAGCAGTCAGGAGGCTGAGGCAGGAGGATCGTTGTGAGTTGGAGAATAGCCTGGACTACATAATGAGCTCAAGGCCAGCCTGGACTACATAATGAGCTCAAGGCCAGCCTGAACTGCACAGGGAGACCCTGTCTCAAACAGACAAAGAGGACTCAAAGAAAATGAGCCAGGAATAGTGACACACAGTGCAGAGGAAAAGCAAACGGCAATGATACTGGATTAGAGACCTGCTCTGGAGTGGACAAACTCAAGCCCAGGGTAGCTGCTCCCAAGCTGTGTGGCTTTAGATGAGTGGGTTTATTTCCCTGGGTCTCGGTTTCCTCATCTGTAAAATGAGGATGATAACTAACACACTTCCTCCACTGTGTAGACAAAATCAGTCCAACAGGGACAGTGCTCAAGAGAGTTCAGGGCACATGGTTGGCACCATGCAATGCCAGCCGTAGTTATGGGACTATTTATCATGGCCGTCACGATCAATGAAAAGGTATCTGTGGCTGCACAGGATCCAGGCAATGGAAACCAGACCACAAGACACCAACTCTGAGCTGCTCAGTGGCCAGGTTGACTGGGAGCTGGCACCTGCTGGCTGGAGGGTGTTGTCGCAGCTGCATAGCTCGAGCCTGGGTGACAGAGGTAGAGTCTGCTTCCTGAAGGGCAGCTCCAGAAAGACTGCTGGGAGCTCAGAGAGCGCAGGCCCTTTGGCACAATGCTGCTTTAAGAATTTATCGCTAATGCCGGGAGTTAGCTCAATGGCACAAACACCTGCCCAGCAAGCATAAGGTTGTGGGTCTGATCACTGGTATCAAAAAAAAAAAAAAAAATTATTGTTAAGTTTCCACATTTGGAAAGCTTAGGCAGGAGGCTCACTTTAAGTTCAAGACGGCAATACCCAGTCTCAAAAAAACTCAAGAGAATTTATCTTAAGAAAATGGTTAACGAGATACAGGTCCCAGGTTACTTCAGCACTCATCAAATCAAAAATGGAATAAAGTAAGGACCAGGTATCTCAGGGGATACCCCGGGCATGGAATTGCCATGTAATGGGCTCCCAAGGCGTTGGAAGTCTGCGCCGCTGACCTGCTGCCTGGGACGCAGTGCCAAGTGGGAGAAAACCAGGCACAAGAGATGAAGTGTGACCCGCCCCAGAGCCGGACTCCTGGGCCAAGGGGCACCCCAGCCTCAGGCTGTCTCAGCCTGTGTCCCGCCTGGCCACACTCCTGCCCTCGGCTCTGCTCTTTTCCTGTTTCAGTACAGGGTCTCAGGCCGGCCTGGGACTCCCTGTGTGGCCCTGGGGCTGTGATTTGTGGCAATTGGGAGACAGAGAAAAGAGACGCAGACAGCTGCCTGGGGCTCTGTCCTGCACCAGCACGCTGACAGCAGGAACCAGACACTGGCTGAATGGGGGTCATACAACAGATAGACAGACAGACCCAGGGAGAACCAAAGGCAAAGTTGCAACCACATGGAACCAGAAGGTGAAAGCAATTACCAGTGTCACGCTCGCAGGGCACAGGTGTGTAGTACTTGGAGTACACCTCGTCCTTCGGCCGGTCAGGAAACACGTAGATCAGGTAGTTCAGGTCCCCCAGGCGGTCGGCCAGGGACCGGATGGAGAAGTCCCTGGTGGTGAAGGGCATCAGGTTCCAGAACATTCTTTCCTCTGCATTGGCAAACAGAAATGATCACGTGTGTGCCACAGTTTCTTCTTTCTTTCTTTCTTTCTTGTTAGAGGATAGGGCCTCACTATGCAGTTAAGGATGGCTCTAAACTCACTGTATAACCTAGGCTGGCTTTGAACTTGTGGTGATCCTCCTGCCTCAGCCTTCCAGGTGCTAAGATTGCAAGTGTGCACCGCCACCACCCCCAGCTCTCCTCATGATTCCCAAATATGCTCCAACATTATTTCATTTGTTCATTTAGAATCAGGGTCTTGTTATGCAGTTCAGGTGGCCTTGGACTCACTATAGAGCCCAGGCTGGCCTTGAACCCACAGCGATCCTCCTGCCTCAGCCTCCCAAGTGCTGGGCTGACAGGCATGTGCCACTGTGCCTGGCACAAATCTCCATGTTAAAGCAGGCACCGGCTGGAGAGAAAGCAGGAGGTGCAGGTGGTTCCCACAGCTGAGGTCAGCACGGCCTCAAGCAGCATCCCTGCCTGTCTGTCAGGAACACGCAGTCCCCATCGTGCCGTTCCCTTGGCTCTGCACAGGGCATCCAGTGTGGCAGGAACAAGTACTCCCCGAGTGCACTTCTGCAAATCACAAAGGGGCCTGAGAAGCCCAGCCAGCAGCTGCTGTCTGCTGAAACGAGCCCACGTAACAATGAGGCCGGGGCTTCAAGAGAGCAGCAGCTGAGGCCTCTGGCTGCCTATGAAAGGCTTGTGCTTCTGTGTGTCCCCGTGTCAGAGTGGCCGCTCCCCAGCCACTGACCTGCATGGCCCCGGCCTCAAGAATGGCCCATCAGCCCTCCCCCTGCCGGGGGAATCTCAGTGCAAGTCAGCCCTGCACACGGCGGGTGTCACCCAGGGAGGGGTGTCATCCATGAAGGGGGTGTCATCCAGGGAGGGGTGGTGCACGCCTGCCATCCCAGCACTCAGGAGGCCGAGGCAGGAGGATGGCCTCAAGTGTGAGGCCAGCCTGGGCCACCTACCAAGACCCTGTGTCAAAAAACAAGGAAAAAAAAAGGAGGTGAGGTGCTCACGGGAGTCGAACTTCCAGGCGATGGTGACACCGCCGATCTCTGAGTCGCTGAAGCGCAGCAGGAAGGTCCCGTCGGGCTTGTTGATGAGCAGGTCGTGCGCCTGCTGCTTGTTCACGAAGCCCAGGATGGCGCTGGACGAGCAGAGGGGGACATGTGTTAGTGACTGAAGGGAACCCAGGTGTGTGTGCGGCTGCTGGGGGGGGACGCAGCTCACCCGTCGTTCCAGTGCGGCTTCAGGTGCTTTTTCAGCACCTCCATGACCCCGTCAAACCACTGCCAGAAGGTGTAGTTCCGTCCTGGCAGGTTCTCCTGGTCAGAGAGGACACGGCCAGGGAGCCGTGAGAGGTGAGCGGTGTGTGGCCACCACCGGGGACACGGGACCCATGACACCCCCAGGGATCTGAGGGTCCCGAGAGGCCTGAGACCAGAAAAGCAGGGTGCAGGGTAGGGAGCGAGAGGCTGGGGACAGAAAGTGTTCTCCTGACCTGTGCCCGACAGTTCCAGAAGCTCATGGAGGGAGGCATGTTTTGGGGGCTCCCGCTCAGAGCTGTGGGGTCACAGTTGCACGGACACTGGGCTGGGTCACACCAACTGTGAGGCCAGTACGGCACGATGGCACCGGTTGCCCAACAGTGACCAGCCGACTGCAGCCACCTGCTTCACTTTCTTGTTTATTTGAGAAAGGCTGTCACTATGTGACCCAGGCTGGCCTTGCACTCACTATATCTCTGGTTGCCCTCAAATGTGTGGTGATCCTCCTGCCTCAGCTTTGCGCCCACTGGGATGACATTCGGGCACCAGCACCACCAACTGGGCTCCATCTTTTTTGTAAAGGAAGGAATTGCCTTAACTCTGCACCAAGTACAACTTAAAGCATGGAAAGCTGTGATTGCGGAGGGTGACTCCAAGCTGCCCCTCCACTCAGAGCTCCTGCTGCTCGGCACATTTTATCAGAACTTGGAGGATGCTGGTCGGGTGTGTGGAGCGGGGAGCAGCGGACAGTGGCCCCTCACCCTGTTGAACTGCGACCAGGACACGGACATGCCGCTGTAGTCCTCCAGGTGGCTGCTGCCGCTGCTGAACAACTTCTGCGCCAGGAACACCAGGTTCTCCTTGGTCAGGCCCCTCGCACTCTGCACCTCGGCCTTGAACTTCATGTTGAGCGCCTCGCACAGCTGCGGCCACAGCACTTTGTCGGGCACAGCGAACGGCACCCTGCCCTGCGGGGACATGGGGCCAGGGTCAGAGGGGTCTTGGGACCGGCACCCCCACCTGCCAAGGAGAAGTGAATGTGGCAGGCAGCTGTCATCGGTGGCCCTGCACCCGAGGGTCTCCATGTGGCTCAGGGTCTGCACTGGGGCAGCCCAGGGGCTCTTGGTCCACTGTCCCTTGCCATGGCCACGCTGCTATGTCCTAGATGACCTGCTGGCCATGCGGCTAGGCCCTAGCTTCTGACACAACAGGAACCAAAGCTGGACCAGGGCTGGCTCTTCGGTGTGAGCTTGCCGGGAATCTAAAGCCCAAGAGAAAGCTGTCCAGTACAGCAGGACACACGCTCAGCTGCACATTCGTGTGTACATGTGTGTAATGCCGCCCGGACACAACTCAGCGGGATGGGGTGGGAGCTGGAAATTTCGAGTTGGCAGCTTTCTTGGAAGCAGGTTAGGACAAAAACTTTTTTTTCTTTGGAGACATGGTCTCGCTATGTAGCCTAGGCTAGCCTCAAACTTGCAGCAATCCTTCTGCCTCAGCCTCCAAGTGCTAGCCTCCAGTTCGGCTCTAAAATGGTTTCCTAATAGACCCTTCCTTTGCATGATGTAAAGCACAGGAGGCACAGAAGCACATGATGAGCTGCCCACCTGGGTCTGGCTTTTAGGTCCCTTCTTTGGGAGCTCCTAACGTGGCAAGGACGCTGTGGCCTATGGTGGCCAAACTTGGTGCTCTGGGTATCGCCAGCGGGCACCACTCACCCTCCCCACTCCCTTCCCACTGTGCTGCTGTGCCATGGGCGTGGGGAACACCCACTCACAGGCTCGGCGAAGGCATTGTCCCAGAGCACCGTGGCCGTCGCATTGTTGTCCTGGCTGCCATGGACGATGACCACCACTGGGAGTGACAGAGTCTGAAAGACATGGGGTGGCAAGGGTTGGCTCCGCCCATCCCGCTCCTCCTTCACCCCACACTGGGAGCAGCCACTGCAGGGCCCGGACCCCGACAGCCTAGTGATCTACACTGAGGTTCCCCAGACCTCTCTTCTCATTTACAGAGTCATTTGTCTTCGAGATGGGGGCTCTCTATGGAGCCCAGGCTGGCCTAGAACTCGGGGTGCTCCGCCTACCTTAGCCTCCCGAGTGCTACGATTGCAGGCCTGTGCCACCATGCCTGACCCCTTGCTTGGATAATTCTATGTGACAGGGTGAGTTTCTCAAGGTTATGGGAGGATAAGTGGGAGAAGAAAGAGAATAAGGAGACATTTCTGGACAAAACCACAAGAAACCTGTGTGAAACCTGATGTCTCTCCCAATTCAGATTTACAAGGAGTCTCCTGGGAAGCATTTTGCACCTACTCTCCAGCCATGTCACCTTGGGTTCCTGGCTTAAGAGACTCTTATGAGATAACGGCTCCAAGGACAAAGCCTCTCTGTTTATCAGTAAGGAGATGTCACAAGCCACAATACCAGTGCTCTGGGAGGCTGAGGCAGGAGGGTCATAAGCTGAAGCCCTGCCTGGGCAACTAAGCATCTTAGTGACTCTGTCTCGAAATAAAGGGGAAAAGGTGGCTGGGTACTGGGCCAGTGCCATACTCTGGGTTCAATTCTCAGAACCAGAAAACAAAGAGCAAAGATTGTGAGCACAACTGCTTTGTGACGAAGTGCAGGGCACATGCACAGGCCTTGCACAGATGCACGCGTGCAAGTCACACATGAGCCCGGGGCGGCGGGGCCTCACCTTGACCTGGAACACGAGTTCGTTGCCACCGATGCTGAACTGCGACTCAAACAGGATGGTGAACTTCTCCTCTGTCACTGACTCCGCTCCACGCCGGTCTGATCTCTTGATGCGTTTCAGGGACTGCAGGGGGGTGGGTATGAGCACTGGCACTGCCAGCCAAGCCCAGGGGACCCCTCCCCGACCATCCCGCTGTCCCCAGCCCTACCATGTTGCGGAAGTGGGCGCTGAGCGTGCCGGTGGCCTGGTGGTACTCCATGACGCAGCAGTTATTCAGGATCTCCCCGCTGTACTCGCTGCCAAACAGAGCGGGGAGCTGGGGACCCTGGGCTCAGCCCAGCTCAGGCAGGGGACATGGGGCCCCACAGAAAGGCCACTGCAAATCGCGACACCCACAGGAAGTGGCGGTCGCGTAAGTGGAGCCTCTGAGCCATCATCCATCAGGACACACCAGGAGGGAATGGGGACACAGATTCCCACCTGCCAGAGCTACGCGGCTCCAGCCACCTACTTTCGGGTGCTCTCGCTCTTGAGCAGCGCCTTGGCCTGCTGCTCGCTGATGATGGTGGCCTTCACCTGCGGCGGGTTCATGTGCACGTTTAGCTTCCCACCCACCAGCAGCCGCACAGTGGCCGCGAACTTGGTCTGTGTCTTCAGGACCTGCGGGGGCTGCTTCTCGATGATGAAGGTGCTGTGGGGACACAGGGGACATGGGGGACATGCTGGCTGGCTGGCTGCTGGCCAGGGAAGGACAGGAGGCAGGCAGGGCGGGGCCAGGCAGCAGGGTCACCTGGTGACCAGGGCTGAGATGATATCCGTGATGGTGGCGTTGACGTCGGCCAGCATCTCCTCCACTGGCCCCGGGATGGGCAGCTGCTGGCACAGGTGCTCAGCCCTGCGGATCTGCTGTCGGTTCTGCCAGATGAGCTCGGCCAGCTTCTCACACCTGCAGGGCCCAGATAGGGACCATGGCTTCCCAGTGCCCAGTGACCCAGGGCCCGGCCCCTTGACTTTGGGGAGAAGAAGACAGGGCCTGGGACCTTACCGCCCCCACCTCCCATGCCCCTGCATGGCTCCTGCGGCCCAGCATGGGCCGGGCCTCACCAGGACTGCAGCACATCCAGGCTGCCCTCGGGGGGACCGCCATTCCCTGCCAGCTGCTGCCGCCGCTTCCACTGGATCAGCTCGTCGTCCAGGATGACCGTCTGTTGCTTGCGTAGCAGTTGCAGGGTCTTCTGGTGCTTCTCGGCCAGCTCCTGGGGGCGGACACGGCCCTGAGCCCCAGCCCGACGGCCCCAACCCAGCCCTGGCCTGACCTGGCCACTCACCACGCGGTACCGCTGCAGGGTCTGTGCCTCACGCTGCAGCCAGGCCTCCAGTGTTGCCTGCTTCTGCTGCAGGGCCGACTCCCGGCTCAGCCGCTCCTGGGGGCTCAGCTGCGCCAGCTGCGCAAATTGGGCTGAAGGGACGGGGCCACCACCATGTCACTGCATGTGTGCAGGGCAGAGGACCGTGGTGACCCCGTATGGCCACACCCAAGGCTGGGACACCCCGACCTCGGCCCCAGGTGAGACCTTGAGCCGTGGGCAGCCGGGCTCTGCCTCGCTTACCATACCCCAAACCCGAGGCCCAGTGTCATTTTGCACGCGCACATTCCCATCCCTGAAGCCACCCTGCAGGCTCACCCTGGACGCGCAGGCTCTCCTGGTACTGGATGATGAAGTACTCCTGGGCCTGTTGCAGCTTCTTGAGCTCATTTTCTGTGTCCTGTGTCACCAGCCGCAGCTCCTCAAAGGTCTGGTTGATCTGCAGGTGCTTCTGCGACAGGGCGTCGGCGAGGCCTCCGGCCGGGGAGCTACCCTGGGGATATTGAGGACAGCGTGGCTCTAACCCTGGGGAAAGCCTTGCTCTGGGCTGGAGGAATTGGGCTGAGGTGGACAGGGGTGGGAGAGCTGGCCCAAGAGGACACGGGCCTCCAGAGCAGAATTTCCCTCTTCAGAGCTAAGCCATACCAGTGTCCTCCAGAGAGGAGAACCTGGCACAGATTGGGTGTCATCAGGGACCCCCCTCTTTGAGGCTCACCCTTGGGTTCCCCACTTGTGTTCAAGGCTATGGGCTGGACAATGTTGGGGCCCAGCGGGACCACAGCCCTGAGTCTTCCTCACATCTCTGTGATGGGGTCACTCGATCCTGGGCACCCTGAGCCCCCCAGGACTTCCACGTCTAGCATGGCAAACCAGGCCAGTGTGGACTGTACCCCTTGGGGACAACTGCCCCAGGTGGACCCCAGCACAATACCGAAGAGTTCAGTTGCTTGGTTTTGTGTTTGAGGCAGGGTCTTGCTCCACAGCTAAGGATAGCTTTGAACTTCAGCAAGTCTCCTGCCTCGGCCTCCAGGGTGCTGGGATGACAGGTGTGAGCCACCTTGCCCGACATGGGGGTAGATTTTATTCTGTCCCTTTCCCTTGGTTGCATGGCCACAGTAACAGTAAGGCGGTGCACCCCTGGGGACCACATCTTGGGGATACTTGGGAGTGTGCATCTGGACACCCAGAGGGAACTGGACCCGCCGCTCGCCCAGCACCTGCCAGGGACTCACATTGGTGGCCTCGCGGACCAGCCTCTGCTCGTTGTACAGGATGTGCCGGATGCAGCGGACCAGCTCCAGGGGGCAGCGGTCATATGTGCTCTGCAAGATGGGAGCCGCCTCTGTGTCACGGCTGAGTGACAGGGTCAGCGGCAGGACAGCAGGTGACCCAATCCTCCCGCACCCAGGGGAACATGGAAGGGGCTCGAACTCACAGTGATCCTCCTGCCTCAGCCTCCCAAGTGCTGGGATGACAGACGTGTGTCACCACGCCCAGCTCCACTAGTTTATTTTAGCTCATTGAAAAGACAGTTTTGTGCATTATCTGTTTGTTGCTTTTTTTGTCAAAAGTCTTTTAGGTTCCTGTGGTATACTCTGAGTGACTACTCTGAGATAATGCAGGGTATTAGCTGCAGTTATTCTCTTATTATGTGTTATGAAATTTTTTTTTCCACAGAAAAATTCCGAGACCGAGTGTGCAGTGTGAGTTTGATCTCACAGTAACAAAGTAACAGGAAGTAAAGGAAGAACCCCTGTGGGCCAGGGCCTAGGCCTGGGCAGGGCACTGACCTCCCACTGGGCCCCAGGTTCTGCCCCTCAATCCCTGTCCCCCCATACATGTAGGTCTGTGCTGCGTGGTACGGGTCGCTGAGTACATATGTGATAGCCGGGTGCTGGAGGTCCAATCTGTAATCCTGGCTTAGGCTGAGGCGAGAGGACCATCAAGCCTAAAGCCGGCCTGGACTATTTTGTGAAAGCCTGTCTCAAAAATTAAAACAAAACCAGCAAGAGTGTGCTGGGCTTGGTGGCAGTGCCTATAATCTAGCTACTCAAGAGGCTGAAGCAGTAGGATCACTTGGACCCAGAAGTTCAAGGTCAACCTGGGCAATGTAGTAGACTGTATCTCAAAAAATAAGGGGAGGTGGATGTGGTAGCACACGCCTGTTATCCCAGCACTCAGGAGGCTGTGGGCAGGAGGATCGCTGCAAGTTCGAGACCAGCCTGGGCTACAAAGTGAGCTCAAGGCCAGCCTGAACTGCATAGCTAAAACTCTGTCGCAAAAAAACAAAAGAACAAAGGAACAGGTACATCAGTGATGAGGGGAAGGCTGCAAAAATGGCTACAGATTAAAGGAGACTGAAGAAAGAGACCATCAAAGGCAGCACCCTGTCTTGGGTGGTGGAGGCCCTGAGGTGACTTCTCTGGGTCGCTCTGGACAGGATGTCACCGGCACCAAGCCAGCAAAGCCAGCAGAAAGCTAAGAGGACCGAGGTGCGGCCTGAGGGAGGAGGCACCGCTCGCAGAGGAGGCACGGGATGAAGGGTCTCCGTGGGCCTGCCACGTGCAGTGGCTGTAAAAGGTACACGGGGCACTGGGTGTGAGCGTGGGTGTGCACAGCACTGGCTCCAGGCACGTGTAGCAGCTCTGTGTCGTTCTTGAAGTTCTTTTTTTTTAACCTGGAATCGAACTCAGGACCTCCTGCTTGCCAGGCAGGCACTGTGCTGCTGAGCTACATCCCTGGCCCAACATTTTTTTTTTGAGACAGGGTCTCACTATGTCTTTCACACTGGCCTAGATTCACAGTGGTCCTCCTGCCTCAGCCTCCCGAGTGCTGGGATGACAGATGAGCACCACCATGCCAGCCTCTTGCGACTTTCTGTCTGTTTCAAATTATTTTCAAATAAAACATCAAAAGATATCCTGGCCAGAGAAGCAAACCTTCAGAGCCCTGTGTGTGCCAGGAACAGGCCAGCCCTGGCGGAACTGCTCTCTTGAGCTTCGGGAGTGGGAAAAGTGCCCTGCCGGAGCCTGGTGCCCACCCACACGCACCTGCAGCTGCGTGGCGTAGTGGCCTAGCTTGATCTTCAGCAGAAACCCATCCTCCCCCACCTGGTGCTCCGCCTTCCTCTGCAGCTCCTGCACCAGGCCCTCCAGGAGCTGCGTGGCTTTGATGTGCTCCTGTGGATTATCAAGATCTATTGAGTCCCTGGGGAAAGAAATCACAGGACATGTACTCAAGCGTGCTCAGACCCTGCACCGCGCAGCACGTACCTACTCACATCGGGATCCCAGGCGGAGCCTAGGGCCTGATGTGTGCAGTCAGCGTGCTGCCCCCAGTCACAGTGCTGGCCCTCAAGTGGCCCCTTCATTTCTTTATTTACTAATTGACCACTGAGACAGGGCTTTGCTGTGTAGCTCAGGCTGGCCTGGAATTTTCAGGGATCCTCCCACCTCAGACCCCTGAGTGCCAGGATCACAGGTGGGCACACTTCCGGCTCACAGCTGTCCGGCTAGTGGGAGCAGCGGCCGCTTTTCCGCCCCACCCTCCTGTTCCCTCTCCTCTGACAGCAGGGCCTCAGGTGAGCAGGCAGCACTGGATTGCGGCAGGAGGACGCCCAACAGCAGCCAGCTGAACTACCACCACTCCCCAAGGGCACTGGGCTGGACAGGCCAGCATTGCAGATAGTGGACTCCATCTGCCTCCAGCCTCGGGGTCAGCTGTCCACTAATCTCAAACCTGCGCCAGAATAGCAGGGTCTGGACATTCCAATGGGTGTGGTGGTGCACACCTGTCATCCCAGCACTCGGGAGGCTGAGGCAGGAAGATGCTGTGAGTCAGAAACCAGCCTGGGCTACACAGTGAGCCCCAGTCACAAAAAAAATAAACAAACAAAGAAGAAATCTTTCAGAGACAGCATCAACATGAAGGGCTGAAGACTGAATATGAAAATCTTCATTTTCCGAGGAAAATCAAATCTACATAATATTCATATTTTTCTTAACATCTACATAAATCTTTTTAGCACTCATTCAATAACAAGACTGCCTGGGAAATCTGCTACGTGAAAGGTTATTTGTCTTTTTTGTCTGTTTTTTGGAGACAGTGTGGCTGTGGAGGTCTTCCTGCCTTAGCCTCCCAAGTGTTGGGATGACAGGTGTCACTACACCTGCCCTGTATTTTGGGTGTTTTTTTTTTTTTTCCAACTCCATTTTATTGCAAGGAGAAAAAGAAAGAAAAAAAAGAAGGAAAAAAAACTAAAACAATTTCAAAATACAACAATCAGGAACGTATGTTGTCATCCCCTATATTTTGTTCTGAAACAGTAGTCTCACCATCCAGTATAGGCTGGTCCCATGTGACCATCCTGCCTCAGTCTCCCAAGCAGCTAAGTCTTTGGGCTCAGGGCCAAATGAAAACACATTCTTATTTCTGTGCTGGGGGCCAGGCATGGTGTCTCACACCTCTCATCCCAGCCCTGGGGAGGCTGAGGCAGGTGGATTGTGAGTTCAAGGCCAGCCTGGACCGCAGGGTAAGAGCATGTCTCAAAAAAAGGAAAAACAGGGCCCGGGATTTAGCTCAGTGGCATAAATGCCTGCCTGGTAACTGAGAGGTTGTGAGTTCAAACTTTGGTACTAAAAAAAAAGGAAAAACGTTCCCTTTGGCAGTAGTGGGACTCAAACCCAGGGCCTGGCCTCGGAGGGCACTGTGCCCGGGCCACACCCCAGCCATGGGAGGAGGCTGAACCTGAGGCCCTGAGCTTCTGCTCCTCGGAGTGTGCAGCATCCCCTCAGGAGGGAGGCAGAAGGGAGCACAGGATCCAAAGCTGGGCTCGCCTGGTGCTGCCCTCCACCCAAGCAAGGGGCAGTGAGACCTGCTCAGCTGCCCAGGATGCTGCCTGCCCCTGGCTCCTGGCTCCTGACCAGAAATCAGCACCCCCAGACAATGCAGTGACAGATGCCCCCCTGCCACTATGCCAGGAGTAGCACAGACAGCCGGGCCAGGCCACCCAGAACCACACTGCCAACGTGCAGCCCTGACGCAGGCTGCAGGAGGTGTGGACGACCCCTGTTGGCCAGAAACAGCAGGGCCAGGCCGCTCAGAGGTCAGCGCCTGCCCAGCTGGGCAAGGCCTGCAGTTGGGTCCTCAGCCGCACAAACAAAATACAGCAAGAAAATACAACTGGGCTGCCAGCTGGCCACACAGGGCCAGTGCCTTCCTGCCCCAGATATGCAGTCAGCAATCAGAGAAATCAGAGTAAAAGTATTGGTGTGGCCGGGTGTGGTGGCGCATGCCTGTCATTACAGCACTCAGGAGGCTGAGGCAGGAGGATCACTGTGAGTTCCAGGCCAGTCTGGGCTGCCCAGACAGACTCGTATGTCAAGACGCCCCCACCCCCAGTAAAAATAAAGACGTGAGACCCTCCTTCACCTACCAGGCCTGGCTCTCTATCCACTGGGCCAGGTAGTGGCGCACCTCGATGGGGAAGTGCTGGCCATACAGCGCCTGCATCTGGCGAAGCGCGTCGCCCTGCAGCTGCTGGGCCTGGATCCACACAGCCATGGCTCACAACCTGCTGGACAAAGGACCTGGGGTGGGTGACCCGTGCTTCCCACGTTCTCCTCCCAAGCCAACAGTCACTGCTCACCGCTGAAGACTGAACAAGGCTCTTCTGGAGACCGCAGAGCTCGCTCCCTTGCTGCTGTCCCCACGTGTAATTTTTATTTATGTATTTAATTTTGAGGCAAGGTCTCCCTGGCCTTCCTGGCCTCAGACTGGCCTTAAACTGTGGCTATTCTCTTGCCTCAGCCTAACCAAGTTCGGGGATGACAGGTGTCTGATGCCACACGGACCCGAGATCAGCCTTCTTGAACTGAATGTCAGCTCCACAGTTTTCAAGATGCAGACACTCCGTGTGGCCCCAGCAAAGAATCGGCCGGGCCTGCGAGGCTCAGGGTATAAGGGTCCTGCGGTTCTTTACATCGAAGCACGAAACTGCCACCACAGATAGGTTCTCTACCTTTGTACAGAAGTGTCAGCAACAGCCTGGCATGGTGACACATGCTTGGGGACCCAGCCCTCAGGAGGCTGAGACAGGAGGACTGCTGCAAGTTCAAGGCCACCCCAGCTGCAGTGTGAGACTGTCTCCAACAAACACGCATGCACAGAGTCATGAGGACACGGGGCCTGGCGGCTCCCCTGGTCCTGGGTCCCGGGGTAGCCCCGCAGCACGGCTCTGCGCTCCCCTGAGCTCCCGGGTGGCAGTGCCCGCCCCTGCCCGTGCAGCCTCGCTGTTACAGGAAACTGCAGCCAGCGGCGATTTCCTTCCCGAAGGTCAGCAGCCTGCGCCGCCCACAGCGCCCGCCTGCGTGCGCCCCGTGGGTTCCAGTAAAGCGCAGAGGAAAACAGGGAGCCCCGCCCACCTGCATCAGTGGGAGGCCTGGCCCGCGCCAAGCGTGCACTGTGACGGACTGGGCTGGGCCTGGGCCCAGCTCCACTACACGCATTGCACCCAAGTCCCCTCTAAAGACAGTAGAGTGAGCTGGAGGCCATAGATGCGAGCATCCATAGGTGGACACACAGCCAAATCAGTGTTTAGATTTCCTCTGCTTAAACTAAAGTCACAATAGTACCGCGCGCACACACACACACACACACACACACACACACACACACGCACGCACACAAGGGCACCCGAGGGTCTCACGGCTGCCACCACCAAGGCAGACACGGGGTGCACACATTCCACCCCAGCACTCAGGAGGAGGAGGCAGGAGGATTGTGGCAGTTCCAGGCCAGCCGGGGCTACTTGGGCAAGATCCTGCTCCACAAAACAAAACAAAAAAAGTGAATAAACGCGGACATGCAGGTCCTCAGGTGGGACGTGGAGAGACCAACAGAGAACAGAGAAAGCAGACATCAGACCAGCCTGCCGCTCTCTGGGCGGGGATCTCAAGCAGCTCAGCCCCAGCCCCCAGGAACCAGCACCTGTGCTCACCCTGCAGACCCAGGCGGACAGGGGCCCCGCAGCCTCCCACAGGAAGCAGGGCTGCAGCCCCCGCGATGATGCCTCTCGAAGAAGTGGTTCCTGCCTCTCTCTGTGGCGGCCGCCCCCTTGGGGGCTCCTACCCTGGGCACAGAGCTCTGCTGGCTCGTCACTTTCGGTTGTGGTGGGGCCGCAGGAACAGCGCTCTCTCTGTGACACCAGCTCTCACTCCAAAACATCAGCACTTTGGTGACAGGAGGTTTGGGGGTTTTTGTTTGTCTGTTTGCCCTTGGCACTGAGGGTGGAATCCAGGGCCCCTGCTCAGTCCTTCTGAAACTTATTTTTTTAAATTTGAGACAGGAGCTTGCGAATTTGCTCAGTGGCCCAGGTGGGGCTCCTACTTGGGATCCTCCTGCCTCAGCCTCCCAGAGTCTGGGGTGACAGCTGTGTAGCACCAGGCCCAGTGCAGATGAGAACGGTACAGGGCTCAGGGCAGAACTCCTGAGTTCATCACAAGTTCTGGGGCGTCCCAGAGACAGCTTCAAGATGAGCAGAAATGTCTTCACCCCTCAGCTCTGCTGTGCGCAGGGGCCCAGTCTGAAACTGGCCAACTCAGCCTTGGCAGTAAGAGATACCATAGTGACAAGCAATTTCCAGGGCTGGGCGAGGTGACGCAGGCCTCTAACCCCAGCATGGGAAGGCTGAGGCAGGAGGGTTGCTATGAGTTTGACATCAGCCTGGGCTACACAGCAAGAACTCATCTTAAAAACCACAACAAACCAAATGGAAGGAGGAAAACACCGAGGCTCCCAGACTGGGCAAACCCTTACCCAGAGGAGCTGGAGTAGCTGGGCCATTCACCTTGCAGCTCCCGGCCCGTCAGAAACCAGCCACGGCTCTTGGTGGTTGCAGGAGCGGCCGGGAGTAACCAGAAGTGTCCCGAACCTTGGCCCTGGCCACTCGTGGTCTGATGAGTAGTGTGACTTTTCTAGGAGGTGCGCCTGCACCCAGTCCCGGTGCAGTCTCCGTTCTCTGTGTTCCTGCTCACTACCAGCGTGTACACAGATCACCCAGGCTACGGTTTTCTAACGGCACCAAACATTTCCCACAGAGGGGCAGTGTCGTGGATACAGTGGAAACACAACTACCGTGGCCAGGCACAGTGGCACACGGCTGTGATCCCAGCACTCGGGAGGCTGAGGCAGGAGGATCACTGCTGGTTGGAGTTCAGCCTGGGATACATAGGGAGACTGTGTCTCAACAAACAAACAAACCAGTCCCCCTGGTAATTAGGAACTGTTAACATGAAATAACATAACCATACCATCCTGTTGTGCTCAGCATACCGGGAACACTGGTACCAGGGTCTCCAGCTCAGCAAGCCACACTGTGGTAGATGCTGCTCTGGGGGCAGGCAGCTTCTCAACAGTGCATGCAAACACATCGCTGGGAAATCTGGACAAGAACGTCCAGGGAAGAGAGACAATGTTTGTCTTTGGATCTTTGGACAATCTCTCACACCTTAGCTAGAGGTTGAATCCATGTGGTACTCCCCCCACCAACGCAGTGTTTGAATTTTTAAATTTTGTGACACAGGTAGCCCAGGCTGGCCTCAAATTGGTGCTGATCTTCCTGCCTCAGCCTCTTGAGTGCTAAAATCATTGGCCTGTGCCACTGTGCCTAGAGCTTCGTCCAATTTTTGTTAATATTTTCTGTTTGTTTGGTTGGTTTTTGAGACAGGGTGTCTCCCTCTGTTGTCCAGGGTACCCTCAAACTCTTGGCGATCCTCCTGCCTCAGCCTCCCAAGTACAGGATGCTCCGTGTGCCCAGCAAGCCCAGGAGTCGTTTGGCAAAGACTTGGTGCTCTGCTACCATAAGCTCACAATGTACCTGGCACTCTGGGCTGAAGACGAAAAGCAACCCCAGTTCCTGGGGCCCAAGACCAGGGAAGCCATCCCAGCTCCATTTCCTGAGCACAGCCGGGCGGGGCACACAGAGCCAGGCCAGGGAAGTATGGCTGGGCTGGCAGCTTCCTGCACCCTGTTGTTCTACCACCTCGGGGTCATGGGCTCACTTCCTGGCTCCAGGAGCGACGGACATGAATCACAGATTCTAGAAAGCAAAGGCTCTGAGACACCCAGCGCCAGACCCAGGAAAACATGGTCGCAAGCCGCACCGTCCAGAAATACGGTGCCATGCTTGTGGCATGGCCCACGGCGGCCTGGAACTCCAGACAGGAGTTACGCGGGCTTCAAGGACCCCAGAGAAAGCGGCTACCGGGCAGACTCCAACAGACAGGCTCTAGCTAGCTGTGGTCCAGCTCTTGGTCCAGCGCCCTCTGGGACCCACAGCCCAGCACTGCCCGAAAGCTCAGCACCACTGTCCACTTCCCAGGCCTGCTCCTCAGGCCTCTCTCCCACCGGGTCAGTGTTTACCATTCTGGCCAATGCGCCAGTGTCTATGCTTCAGAGAAGCCCGGCTATTTCTGCCCGCAGCTCAGGACCCACTGTCTCTCTGCCAAACACAGTGACTACCAAGGTCCGGCTGTCTCTGTATAAGCGACCCAGGAAGCCGAGAAGAAGGAGAATTTAGGAGGTGGGGGAGGGAAAGGCCAAGCAGGAGAAGGAGAAAGGGAGAAAAACATAATGCGACAGGAGAGAGAGAAAAGAGGCTGAGTCGGATGGCGCACGCCCGTGATCCCAGAACTCAGGAGGCTGAGGCAGGAAGATCCCTGCGAGGTTGCAGCCAGCCTGGGCTCCATAAAGAGATCCTGTCTCAAAAAAACAAAACTAACAAACAACGACACCCCTCCCCACCACACACACAGGAAAGAACCACATGTGTGCTTCGTTCCCCATGCAGCCTGCAGAGCCCGAGGCCCCACGTTGCAGCGTCTGAAGGCAGTGGGAAGCAGCCTTGAGGCACCGGAATCTTCCAGCTGTGTCGGCTCTGCACGCTGTGCCTGGAACGTGGAGAAGCACTCGTCTCGGCCATCACAGCACCAGCTGCTCAGCGTGGACTCAGTCACCTCAGTGGCCCCAGCAGCCCGGTGCCAACAGTGCTGCCGCTCTCCTAGATGGGGGTGTTTTATTTTAAAAAGGATGACACGGACGCCGAGAGGCAGCTGCATGTCCAAGCTGCTGTCACTCGGGGCCACCAGGAGCTCAGGTTGCTAGGAAACGCCAGGGGGTGGGGGCTGTGGAGCCACTTGGACAGATGCCGGGGTTTGCTTGCCATGGTGACAAAGTTCTGGAGAGGGAACGTGCGGGTGGTCGCACAAGTGTGTGTGTGTGTGTGTGTGTGTGTGTATCTGGTGCCTCTGAAATGGGCTCCCAGAAACAGCTACAATGGAGCCAGGCCTGGTGGTGGGCACCTGCCATCCCAGCCCTTGGGAAGCTGAGGCAGGACGATCGCTGAATGTTGGAGGCCAGTCTGGGCTCCACCTCAAAAACACAAAGACTCAAAAATGTCAAATGGGGGCAGTGATGCAGTGTAGGGTGCTGGTCTCTTCTGTGGGGCGCCCATGCCCATGGCACCTCCAGTATGCATCCGTCTGCCCTTTGACACAAACGAGGCCAGGTTCTGTC